GATACGTTGCATTGATAATGGATTAAACGCCAAAGATTTCACATGGTGATGAATTTTGGGTAAGATATCGTTATAAAATCGATCGATTAAACAAATATCATTAATTGATGAAAAATTCAGACTGTTGGTGAAAATATTTTCTTGAACGAGAAGATTTAATCGTTCATTGTTAATACCAAATAAAGAATAAAGAACGTCAATATTGTTCAAATTCTTTAGAATCAAAAGTAACATTTCATTTGGCAAAGATAAAAGATTCATCTTTGATGGCATCATAATGAACAAGAAGTGAGTTGCTCAGACACGAATAAAATATATTTATGTGTCTACATCGCTTTTTTGTCGTCATAGAAGGTTATATCAATGTCATCATTGTTGTATTGCGACTGAACTCATCTTTTAAGGCAATTTGTTCGTTCAGTCTGTTTGTGAAGCAGGTCAAGCCATTGATATCAAAAATGGCATTGTGTAATGCTTCATTTTATATTTGTACTTATTAAATATTGCTTTTCATATTTCAATGATCTATTAGAGATGAATACGATTTAGGTTTTGAAATACTTGAAGTGATTATATCTTTCGCAAAACAAAATGTTCTTTTCTTGCGCTGATCATTCTTTTTGAACTCATTGGGTAGTCCAAAGTAACAGATCTCGTTCAATGTGTTAACTATTCTAACGTTTCAATTCAGTGTCATGTAAGACTGTTGCGCTATAGGTGAACAATTGCGATACTACTGAAAATCGAAATTTTCTTGTGGTTTGGAATACGATTGATACCTGCTTCGATTCACATTCTGTTGATCCAGGGGTATTTATTTATTCTTGACGTGAACGTCATTGAATACTGGTTAATCATCGATAGGTTTCATATGAATACTTTTAAATTACAAAACAATTCTATTTTATCGAAGTGAAGCTGCATCGAAGATTGAATAACTAAATAGGAAATTGCATACAAACGAATCTCTCTCGACGAAAAACAAATCCAATCGAACTTATAAAGTAGATTAAATATATTTCTAAATGAAAGAAATAATCTTATTTGCTTCCAGAATCTATTGTTTGATATTGATTGTCACGCATTGAATGTATGTCTACCGTGTGAATAGATGATCACAATCATTTTCCTATTCATTTAACAGCATGTGCTAAATTAAAAGTGCGAAAATAAAAGATGGAGATCTCCTGCTGTGCAACGAAAATATAACAAACATGAAAAACATCTGTTTCGTCGTGGAATGTTTCAATAGATAGTTCAAATATTAACATTTTCAAGAGAATATTCGATAATCAATGATTATCTCTACAAGATATTGAAAACACTTGAAATTGTGAACAACTCTATTTGATATTGACATAATGACGCCAATAAGTCGCTCGTTGAAATGGTGCATTAATTGCCATCTCTCCAATTCGCTTTTTATTTCAAATACGAAATCAATGCATTTTCGCTGCGTTCAATCAAAGACGATAATCAACTTCTTCACATAAACTTTCAAACGATATAAATCGTTGTGAACATATTTACCTAAAAGATGTTCTTTTTTTGTTAGCATACGATCAATGACACCAGTTTCGTCTGTCAATATTGACAAAAACCGTCTCATATTTTCATAGACAAACAACGTTTAACTTTTATTTGAAATCAAAACGAACTTGTCTTCGTATATCTCAGTTCATCCAGATTCATTCACGTGTGATTTACAGAAAATCTTTGTTTTCATCAACAAGATTTTCAGCACTGAGAGATCAAATATTCTCGTATGTTCTTTCTATTGTTTCGATACACGTCGGTCGTGAACGGTCAGACAATTTCTTATTCATTGAATATCCTTGACAAAAGAACAACAAAACAATGCGCGTGCATGGGAGCAAGAGAGAGAGAGAGTGTGAGAGAAGGAGAAGAAGAGAGTGACCGGATAAAGGGTCATTCCTTGAACTCAACCAATAGATGACAATGACCTTCATATAAACCAATGGTAAACGAATATTTGTCATACTCTTTATATAAATTGACATGTATCTCAATGAACAAGTTACACAATTCAGCAATATCCAAGTTAGACAAGTAGGTCGAAGTATTTCATTCTTATACGGGAGACACTGTTCGTCTTGCCTCGCTCGACGATAATCAATGAAGCGAAGTTGGTCGATCAGTACCCTCCGATAAGATTTCATATATGCTATTATTTCCATCAGACCTTGTTCATAGAAATACGGAAATGGCGATCACACTGTTCACACACCTCGCGCCGAGATTGTATTTTAAAAAAGTTCCGCTGGGTGGTGCAAACAGTCTAATTGCTTTTTTCCATTGATGCTACTTTAACGTAACTAGCACAGAGAAAAACTGTTCATCTAGCCTCGCCTTTGATTTTATTGTTAAATAAACAGGCGGGAGCAGATTGCGACAGTCATTAAATGTGCTAACAATCGTCGAATTTTGAATAAAATAAAAAAATTGTCTCTTATTGTAGAGTTGTGGTTCGAATGTAACCCTTTCCGCTCGGAAGATTACACTTGACTTGAATTCCGTTGGGCAGTTTCTCCTTTATAGTGTTCTCACTAACGTTCGGTGGCACCATAACTTCATCGCCGGGCTATAGCGAAAGCGAATCGATAAAAAGTGTTGTTTCGTTGTAAGGATGTTTAGATTACCTTCCAGTCGACTGGTGTTGCAATTGGAAATTTGGCGGATAGTTGGAGTGAATCGAGGAGTCGAAGGATTTCGCTATAAAGAAAGGATGCATTGAATGAAAGAATGGATTTGTAGATTCCTGATTACTCGAAGTTTCGTCCACTGGTCGCCGGATACAAAAGCATGGCCTTGACTTTTTTGTCTGGCCCAATATAAAATACCTGAAAGGGTCGAATTTGTAGTAAGTGATGACGGAAAAAGTGTTTAGAAACTTACAGAGCGAGCAGTCAGTGCTATACCTTCGTTATCGGTTTCAACTGGATCGATCATGCCCAGCTTTGTAGCTAAAGCGCGATCACTGTCGTCGATAATTGGAAACGGAAACTGTTCAGAACATTGATCCGTGATGCCTGCATATGCATGAATATCCTTTCAATAGCAGAATAGTATTGATAGGAAAAAGAAAGAATGAAAGGTACTTTTATCCATTCGCGATGAAGTTCAACTGTATCACAGGATAAACCGATGAGCTTTGTATTTCGTTTAGCGAATTCAGGTGCAAGTTTTGCCGCACGCGCCAGTTCAGTGGTACAAACCGGTGTGTAATCTGCTGGATGAGAAAATAGAATACCCCATCTAAAGTTTCATATTGAACGAAATGAATATTTAAATGAAAAGAAAATTACTGATCACCAAGCCATTGATGTATTTTTTTATCGCCGACAGTCGTCTTAACTGTATAATTTGGAAATTTTTGGCCTAGTCTCAATGACATTTCGATTGATAAACAAATAAGCGTGTGTCTAGAAGAGCGAAGCAGATGAATATTGTTGTCCCGTGCGTTATAATGTGAGTACTACAGCATAACTTGCTTTTTAGGTGGTTGGTCGATTGGATTTTACCTATTGATTTGGTGAAACAATACATAGGTAGAAGAACAAAAATAGATTTGATGACGTTTGTTTGTTGGAAAAGAAAGGTCGGTAGAAACAAAATAAACGGATTTTATTCTTTGTTAGATACATTATGGGTGTGTGTGTGTGTGTGTTTTCGTGTTAAATCGAAAACAAAGATACTCTTCCATCGGTCATCTGACGCTGAAATTTTGTGAGGATGTTAGATTGTATTTGTCACAGGTAGATGCATCGGTTAGAATATTTCTCCAAGCATATTCTTGTTGTCAATCTTATTTTGGTAAAGCATCAATTTCTCATACGTAAAAAGATGGTGTTGTTGTACATGTTTTCCTATAATTGTTTGCACTATTTTCAGAAATTGTCAAAGATTTGAAAGATCATCGGATATATTAAATGACTTCCGAATGTACTTTTTATAAATTGGTCAATATTTGAAATTAAACTCACCATTTAATACGATAGAAGAAGTATAGATTACAATACACATGAAACAGACAAAACAAAAAGATAACAGTTGATGAATTACAAGAACAAGAAACGTTTCTATTTACAGATATAATGATCGAAATTACTTTTCGTGGTCAATTAGCAGTGATGACAAAAGAAGAGCAAATCAAATCGATCTTTCGTTTTCTCTAAATATACATTGGAATACTGGATACTTTTTTTGATAGGCACATCTTTCTGACGCAAATTCAACAAATGTCTTTTCGGCTGAATATTTTTGTCCATCCTTCCTACAGAAGATTTCGATATGCATTTCGATTCGCTTCTCTCGCTCTTTCTTCTTGCTGTTCTCTACGAGTTAACCAACGGTTTAAACGTAAATTCCATACAAGACCGAACTTACTGAAAAGCTGTGTACCTATTACAATATCAACAGGCAAATCAGGAATCAGAATAGGAGTGGCAAACGATAAAGTAACATCATTATAAGCGTCAGGAGAAAAAAAAATCGGTTGACATGTTGAATAAGAACGATCAGGAAAAGCAATATCACTCATAGAAGAACTAAAGTTGTCTAATGGTAATGCTTTCCTCAAGCCTAGATCAAGTCGTTGTCGCATTGCATCATTGATGAAGACATATGTATTGTCGGGTATCCAAGACACAGTTGTTAATGTAACATGATGAACTTCGGATTCGTCTATTACACGCATAATGGATAATATATGCTCACATTCATTACCGACGACTAAAGTGAAATCGATCGATTGCATTTATTTACTGTCCGTCAAAATGACGAATAAATCTAAAAGAAAAGAAAAACGTTTATAGGTGTATGATAAAAGATTCATCTAAGTACTTGATGTTCTCGTCTCCCGTCTATTTATAACGTTTGGTCATTAAAATACACACATATATAGATAGATAAACACATCACTACGTACGATTTGTTCGATCCTTTCTCCTTCCAAACAAGATACAAAGTACGAACGGTTCCTCTTATTCTTTGTACAGAAATAGACTTTATTAAATAGAAAACAGTTCAGTATCAACTTAAAGGAGATTTGACAAGACCTGAATATAGAAGATGATTATTGCGAATAACGGCACGTTTGTTCTAACTTCTATCATCGAATGACTACGATGGTGGATTACCCGCTTTACTTCAGAGAAAACAAGATTCTTTTTCTCTCATATAAAGTTTCATTACGATTTCAAATAAAAAGATTCATTTAGATCATTCAACAAGAGTTCTTGTAAGAACTAAAAGCCAATTTATTCAAAGAGAAAGATAAACAATGGGAGGATTGCCTTCATCAAAAGTCGTATGATATGACTTAAGTTGAAGAGCGGTCCCAACAGAGGAATAACCAAGATGACCGAAGTGAATGAATAAAATCATGAGTATTATCTGATATATAGAACGATAAAATATCTGTTGCATAATTGAGCAAAGTATTCTACAAAAGATCTAGGAGCTTTCGGTAAAGTTAAAAGCAGTGCACATGAGCTCTATGTCTTATAAATGTGTTATTCAGATCTAGGCTGATGGAGGACTAACGCATTATTCTTATACACAATTCAAATACGTTTTTTGATTTAATTTCATAGAATATGGCAAGCAGTCAAACAAGTAACGAACGCTGGTTAGAAATGGATGTCATTTTGCTCAAACAGTCAGATGTCGAGAAAAAAAACCGTGGCTTAATATCCGGTACAGAAGTACATATGATTCGCACGATGATCAAAGTTAATACAGGGTGTTGTGAGTTAGCTCTCACGGCATCTTTAGTCGAACAGCTTGATTTGGAATATTTCGATACCGTGTCGGTGTCCTCTAGTACACATAACAATGTTCTTATAAAACGATATGGACCAGTGCTTATTCATTGGGAAAGAATCATCGCTCCTGCTTACGCTTATTGTATGCCATGTTTGGATGCGCCACTATTAGGTCTAAAACCACTGCTTCAATTTAAACCTGATTTCGATTGGAGCAATAACACGTTACGACGTAGTATTCTTTCTTTTCCTTATAAACGATTTTACATCAATCTCAATGAAATTGAGAAAGTTATTGGTGATGACAACATCAAACGCTTTTCAGATGAATACAACGTTCAAATTTATCTTACCAATGAAGGAGGTAGTAAAATGATACTTACTCTTTCAGCAAATCGTTTCGATGTTGATCTGGACTTAGTTGCGCTAGCTGTAACTGAATTGGCGGCAAGTGTAAAGCCAATCGAGTGAAATAAAAAAAGCAAGCTAGTTTTATATGTTTTTACTTGATTAAAAATAAAACATTCGACAATGAAAAGATAAAAGTCATCAAATATATCAGATAATCGAATAACACAAGCAATACGTAATGATAAGAATTAACGAGATATAAAACAGTTGCTCATAACCACAAAGCCATCAGATCACTACACATCAATCCTGAGAAGCATATGTGAAAAAGAAGACAAGAACTAAAATTCATCCTTATTTGTATCCGATAATAACCATTCATTATTCTGTTGATAACCAAGTTGTCGAGAATAGAATAAGTCGTTAAGTCATGTACGCTTGTTGAAAAAATAGATCTTTTATGATAAGTTGAGCTTTGTTTGGAAGAAAACGACAGAAAGAGGAGGGAAAATGGTATTCGTGGAATTCGATTTTCACATCTACTACCAGGGTAAATATTGCCTAATCCAGAAGAATTAACTTAATCACTAGTTTAGTATTGCGTAGCTCATCACAAACAGTAACAAGTTCACAAAAAGAATACTGCCTCGTAACGTACAAGATTTATTTCGCTCCCTATCTACTACACGATTTCTGTCTTTCTATTTCTTTTCTTTCTATCGTATAAACACGTTTCTCACTAGTAGTTTTCTTTCCTGTCTCTAACATCCATTGTCGTATGACTTTTTCAAACGAAACTGTATTCGATAAAGTTTCCAATGACGTCATCACTACGTCCTGTAAAACGATATTCAATCGAACAATGTTTTGTTCCCTTATTGACTTCATCCGAATCATTCATTCTCAGCTACGATGAACATCCTCGTCCTTTGGTTCGATTATTCAATAGTGGTTGTCACCAAATCATGTGTATTTATCTTCCAACATTGTTAGTGGACATGTGCTATTCATCCTATTTGGATGTGTTTCTTCTTCTGTCAAGTCAATGTGTTTATAAGTTAAATCCATCAATTGGTCAACTCGAACATATCGATGATTATGAATTACTAAAAGAAAATCGTTTTCTTTCATCTTTATGTTCAACAAATGATCATCGTCTGTTTATTTTGTATCGTTTTGGTGAATATTTAGATGAATATCCACGAGGAAAACGTATTTGGAAACGACGACATTTGTGTGATTCACTTAGCGAAGATATCTCCTTGATTCGTTCGTCATGTACAACTGATAATCCACATTCATTTCTTCTCGGTTTACTCATTGTTGAATGGAATGGAACATGGCGTGTTGATATTTTCTCTTCGTCGATACAGAAACTTCACACAGGTTTTCGTTTTAGTGGCTGGACACGTGATGTATGGCTTTCCGATTGGTCGCCTTACGAATGTTGGTTTGTTGGAAGTCGATGTCGTTTGATGATCGATTCGAAAGGACAACCGAAGAATATTTCAGTCGACGGGGTCGATTGTGATATGAAAAACATCACTTGGATGAAACACATCTATCAGATCAAACTAATGGTCATACGAGAAGAAAAGTTTTTGATATTTTTCAAATAAACAAAAAAACAAATGTCAATCTCGATATTTTGAGTAAGGATTGAGACCAAAGAGTTTTCGTCGAATTTCAGGAAGAATTTGTTGAAATATCACTGAAAGCCGAGCTTTGATTTTTTCATACATCAGTTAAAAGAGAAGGAATATTCTTTTCGTATTAGGAACTAAGTTCAATGATAAATCATCGTATGAATTTTGTTTTATGTCAAATATTCGTTTACTGTGCTCCTGCGTATAGAAAAAGTGCTTCTGCCATATAATGGCCGTTGAAGTACAACTTGGAATTGTTTCTGAATCGAGAAGAAACACGTTTGTGAAAAGCAATAGCAAGACTCATATTCTTGAATCGCCAATAAATTAATCCCGAAAGATACGTGGATGGATCGAAGAATGTGTGATGGATGCCTGTTCTTCTGGAGATACTCTTTTTCTGATTGAATATCTGTTTGTATATTCAGTATTATAGCAACTCNCCGTATCGATATCTAATAACCATGTAAGTTCATCTTAATTATCATTGCCAGTTTTAACTTGTTCGGAGATGAAAAGATTTGATCAAACGCCTAGTACAGAGTGCGATTTCTGAATCAACTCATATGTTGGAATTATTCGAAAAATCTTCAAAGAAGCGATCGAATTCATTTTTGTCGATATACTTCAGTTTTTCTAACGCGTTTCAATAAGCGAACGATTATACCTTATATAGTTAGTACAGATGGGAAGTCTTCGAACATGAGCAACTGAGGTTAAGTTGATAGATTTTCCACGAAGTTTTAATAAACATAGAACTGTTAAAATATCATCATCAGTATTGGACATACTGGAATGGTATGAAAGTTCGAATTGCCAGTGTGAATAGGAACATATTTACGAGTTACAAGTTAGGCAAGTTGAATGTAAGGTCTGGGTGTAAACTTCGCTTAATTGAGATTATATTTGTGAATGAATTTGATGTGCATGATAAAGTCTGACGAACAATAATTAAGCTAAATGTGGGTTTGACATATTTTGAAATATTGAATCAGTGCTGTAAAAGATCATGAAACAAAAATTCTTATTGAGAAAGACATTTTTCATATAACGAAAGACATGTATACGGATAAAATTTCGAAGACGAACGAATGTATTTTTTTCCTTTCAGTATTCATCATCATCATCAAGTAATTTAAAATGTTTTTCATTAACATGTTATTGCATTTTTGCAAGTTGTGAACTAACTATTATACATCTTCGTCAAATGTTATGCCTCGAAGAATTAACTTTATTCCTTGATATTTCGTCACAATCACCGTTCATCTATGGTACTTATCTTAAATCCTTTTTCCTATGTCACAACTTCAAACATTTATATTTTATAATGAACTAGAGGGAGTACCCGCTGCAAGTAAGAAATATTTATGTCGAACACCTCACGTGTTGAAGAGTTATGACAGATAGAAAATCAATGCAATTAAAATTTCTACGCTTCCACTCCTTATTTTTTCCACAGTGCATCGCATGAAATGGCAGTTTCGGCTATATCTCTTTATGCAAAAGAGTTACCGAAGCTAATTTCTGCCTCAGAAATCATGAAAATTTCCTCTTTCTCTGATATTAATTTTCCACTCTAGCTATTCATTCATCGACCTCTTTCTCACTCTCACGTCATTTCGTGCCTTATATCCTTCGAATTCACCCACCCTCATCATTTATCTTAATCTTTTGAGATCCTGTAACGCTATTGGTAAGTATCGCAGATTATCTGCAGCATTCACCGAACTATCATAGGCGTAGAGAACACGTGGACTGTTGTCTATGAGCGCTCAGACGGCCTTCGGCCGCCTTCGCTACCGACCCGCTGCAATTTTTCACATCGCGCAATCCTATTGGTCAGCTTCGTAGACCGCTTGTAGCATGCACAGGACTCCCAAGCACAGGTAGAACACGTGGACTGTTGTCTATGAGCGCTCAGACGGCCTTCGGCCGCCTTCGCTATTAATTTCCTCAATTTGGGAAATCTCGCAATCCTATTGGTCCGTTTCATATATTGCCTGCAGCAAACGGCTGGCTCCTTTGTTCTCGGCGAAAAGTAGACGGCGACCTTCCTCTGGGTCTCAGGAAGCATTGTGGAAAGTTCCACGCCGATAGCTGCTACAGGGACTGAATGCATAGCGAACAGACAGACAGACAAACTTTCTTCTTTATATATATAGATGTATGAATGATATTCATGATGATTTCAGTGTTCATCGATACACTGTTGATATTCAACAAAGTTTTGCAGATTTCAAATATGGACAAGTGAGTTACATGGTGGATTCTATTTATGATCATCCTTTATATCGCGTTTTTCCACTTCCAACTAAATTTAATCGTCTCACACGTGTTATAAATAAATATTCCAGATATGATTTTTGACTAAGTCACTCATTTGGAATTACATAATACAACTGTATTTAAACATGAATTTTTCGTTCGACTTGCTAAAGCATTTGCATTTCTTAAAACCTTATCTATTCACAATATGTGGCCACCGTTTCTGCGCGAACATCAATCTCATCTTCGGGATAAAGATTGGTGTTCAATGATTGAATATCGACATCTTAGTCCCCTCGATATGACAAATGCAAATTCTTATTACCTTAAACATTTTCTTAATGAAACAAAAACACGTCTACCTTCTTTATCAAAATTAAAAGTTCACTATAATCTTTTGAAAGCTGTGACAAACAATTTTGCAAAAGAAGAAATGCGATATAATTGTTGTCGAGTAAACCAATTAGTCACTGATTATCCAGTCACTGATTTACAAAATATTATTCGTTATTTTCCTTCATTGTTAATCTCAGTGTCTTGACCTATTTTCTAAATAAGAATTTATGATGCAAAAATATGCGAAAGACTCTTTTGTCGTAGCGTAAAAATGTGGGTGTTTATTTTGATCATCAAAAAGAAGAGAAGAAGACAAATTTATTCGGAGTCCTTCATTTTGATATCTAAAAAGTAAAAAACGAAATGCATCATCAAAGCAGTTTTCATTCCTTACCATATTCCGCATACAATTCCTGAATAAGTTCGAAGCTTTCCCCGATCGATTTGTTTATTCTGAGTAGATCTTTGGTTAGCGCTTGAATGCCAGTAATTATGCTACTATGATTGTCCGACATTGTGAGCAAGTTCATTTCCAATTGCTTCATGAGAACCATGGTTTGTACCTTGTCGTGATAATGTTTACATAAAGTATTAATTGTTTCTCTGATCTACAACGAAATTTTGACTGTTTGCCTTTATTTGATGTTTCTTACTTGACCATTGTACAGTAATAACATGTTAGCAATATTGTCATCTCCCATTTTGATTGTATTCAATCGCCTTTCTCAACAGAATCAAATGAAGATGTTCCAGGTTAAACAATCCGGTCCGAGAACCAGCCAGTTCAGGGCCTTCCGGAGATTTCGTGAAAGCAGGATTCCAGGCACTTTCCCATAGTATCCAACGCGGATATCATAGATATTCTGCAGGTATTCACCGGAAATAAGCGGAATCCTGCTTTCAGGAACAATCGTCCTGGGGTTTGTAGAATTCGTCGATCGAATACAAAATAAACGAGTGCGATCGATCTCTTTCGAGGTTTTCTCTATATAGCTTATCTCTCTCTGACTACGCGATTTCTATTCTTCTCTCATTCTTTTCCTTCTTTCGTCTAAACACGTTTCTTACTACTATTTTTCTCTAACATCCATTGTCATATGACTTTTTCAAACGGAACTGTATTCGATAAAGCTGTCAATGACGTCATCATTACGTCCTGTAAAACGATATTCCATCGAACAATGTTTTGTTCCTTTATTGACTTCATCCGAATCATTCATTCTCAGCTACGATGAACATCCTCGTCCTTTAGTTCGATTATTCAATAGTGGTTGTCATCAAATCACGTGTATTTTCCTTCCAACATTATTAGTTGATATGTGCTATTCATCCTATTTGGATGTGTTTCTTCTTTTGACAAGTCAATGTCTTTATAAATTAAATCCATCGATTGGCCAACTCGAACATATCGATGATTATGAATTACTAAAAGAAAATCGTTTTCTCTCATCTTTATGTTCAACAAATGATCATCGTTTNAACAAAAATGAATGAATTATTAAGACAACATTCATCCAGGATGTTCGTGGACGATTGTGTACGACAAGACCATCAGCACCTTCCTTGTTCGTAATCGATCCACGGTAACTTGTGCGAGCAACTGTTGATGAACTACGCGATCCGATAGATGAACTCGATTGAATAACATGAACGATAATTCCAATATCGAAAAGAATAACAAGAAGTGACGGAATGATTTCGGAAAATATTGAACGTAATGTTGTATAATTGAAAGCGAAGGCTACGTCAGTTAAAAATGTTCTCCAAGACGACGAGATCGATTCTTTCAATGCACAAACTGTTCTATATGGTGGAAAGATTGTTGTATCGATAATCTTCGTCGACATTCCTCCAAACGATGAAGAATTGCTTGATCTAAAGAAAGAAAGAAAAAAACAACGTAGATCATCAATTATTCTCCTAGGGGTTCCATGATAATTATCAAAACCTGATCATTTTGACGCAAAACAGATTCTCGATGTTTTCTAAGTATATACAAATATTAACAGATGGTTTCCGTTCATACCTAAATGTGAAATTGCCTTGTTCATTAGGTAAATGAATATGTTTTGGTTGATAAAAATAAACAGTCGGTCCAGTCAACGCACCCACAATCAGAAACGAAACCAAAGCCATTGAAGCAAATTTGTATCTTTTCAACGATGGATGATTTATATACGAACTATAATTAATTGTTACATAAGTAAATCGTTCGTACGTCCAAGCAACGATAATAAAAGCAGATAGGATACGCAGACACGACGAAAAGCGATATAATTTACAATTAAACCATGTTTGACCAACGGTATAAGTTATCCATCGGCGTGTTTTTGAATGTAGAATAAACGAATAACGAAACACACATAAGAGATTAATAATCAACGATGCGATAGCTAAGCGTCCGTAACTCGTTCGACGAAATTTCCGAGAAGAAAATACAATAAGACCAAGAAGATTTCCAATTGTACCAAGTATAAGCATCAGAATACAAATCCAATCAAGTATTTCATTTGTTATTTGTCGCGACATAACATTCTATCTAAAATAGAACTGGTTATTCTCATAGAAATATATATATAAATATAGAATGTTGTCGTGAGAAATAAAACATAAGAAAAGAATATTAGATGAAATGACTCTCACATGAGTTGAAATAAGGAAGAATTATTAAAAAAAGTAACTTGAGAATTTTCTAATAAATCTTTATAAATGAGACATTTGAAAACTAGTAAATATTAATATTTGTCATTTTTAGATTTCTACTGAGACACAATGATTCTTTCTTTGCGACAGAATAAAAATATTCAAATTTTATTCATCCGTTGCGAAATTATCATTTATGACATGAAATAAAAATTGATTTATGCAAGTTCACAAAGAATACTTTCAATTATTTTCATTGAATAATAAAGATTCAGTGCTTGACCACTAAAAGGTACAACAAATAGAAGAAGTCAAATGTTAAGAGAAAAAAAAATGTTTTTTTCACTGACTAAAGTATGAGAAAGGAAAAAAAGAACTTTCTTTCTAATGGTTCGGTTAGAAATGAACGTGCAAGTTCCGATTGTGATGAATCATTTGAGAGGTTTTGCTCAAGCAAGTACGACTAATCTAACGTTGAACACGACCTTTCTTTTCTTTGCTTTTCCTCCTATTCTCATTCAATTAATTTGCCGATAACATAATCGACGACATCCGTTTTCCATCGACATCATTTTACTCAGGTTTAAAATTTACGATTGTCACAGAAGTGAAGACTTTCTCGATGCGATCGAGGGAAGATGTCCCTTGTAAAACAAATAATATGAAATATAAAAGACATCAAACTGAAATTAACCAGATGTTGAAATGTAAGTCAATCTATCGCGAAAGAACGGATAATAATCAATAGGATGAGATCATTTCTTTTTCATCAATGCGCACTAGCTTTTTCACATCAAGCGATACTCCAGACAATAACAATTTTTTTGTTTCATCTCATCTTCGTTTAATGTTACCGTACTAAGTCAATTCATTTGATTAATTTAATTATGAAAAAATCGTTGTAAAAGGACGCGATTTGATATGGATTCTTAACAGTTCGTTGTTGTGCTAATGAGAATCAAGAAAAGTTCATCTCGGGATCGATATTTTGATCTCATTATATGAGGAAAGAATTGATGATCGATTAGCAAATATCAGATTTCTATTTTCTTCGAAAAATATGCTTCATCTCATGGTAACCAATAGTCTATTCATCACACGTTGTCATATCAATGTGAAATGACATATCTCTGCGAAAGAAACTGTCTTTTGCATGTCGAAGTACAAGAGAACAATGAGATACACGAGAAAAATGACTAATAATCAATCAAAATAAGTCTTATCAGTCGATTTCTGTCCAACTCTCTGCTTCCGATCAAAGGCAAAAACACATATTTTCTATTTTGTTGAGCAAATCACTGTTCTAATCAGATTTACCATTAGTTAGAAGCCTAACAACGTCAATCATGAAACTTACCGTCGGACATAATTATGGAACAAGAAAATTACTGCTGAGACATTTCATTTCCTATAGTAGATCGTTTCGTTTGTACTAAATATTACTTAGCGTAATGATAGACCTTCGAACGAAAGAGCAAGAGAAAAAGAGGGAATGTCAGCATAAGATTGTGTCACGATTTCTCAATTCAATAATACAAAACGGAGTGTTTCATTGCCTATCATTCTATCCATCAAGAGGTTCGTGTAGTAAAAAAGAAGACAAAGGAGGAAAATAAATGCTCGAGAAAGGAGAATTCTCTTGCGAGTCGATCAATCACCGAAGGAAAAAACTCGAATATACTGAAGAGTTATTTTTAATTGATGATGAATAGACAAATCATCACAATCCATTTCACATCATATCCGTTCCATTAGCTAAATGCCATCTCATCGCAGTTAAGCTACTTTGATTTTTTTTTCAAAAGAAAAAAATCATTTCTTTCTTCGAATACCGATGAAAACGATCACGATTATTATTTTAATCATTAGAATATGTTTGACAATATCTATAATTACCTCGAACATCACAACATATCTTTTCATTGAAAATAAAGTTTGTTGTAATGACAGAAGATGTGTCACAGACGATGAGAAATGTACGACGAGAGTTGTTTGTAAGACGACAGAAGATTAATGTTTCCGATGTTTGAATTTATGTACGTCGACAAATTCTCACTACCTGAGCTCATCTGTTAATGAGTTATTTTAATGTTTTTACATGAGATTATTACGTATTTATTAACAAAGCATATACGCTTAGGTTAATATCTTTTGAAGGAAGATGAAAAGAAAGAATTTGTGAAGATCTTTTAATTCTTGTTCGAATTATGCGTAGGAAGAGAAATAATTATCCAAGATATTCTTTCCTACACTGATTTCTACTAAAAAATAGCGCAGATAGGAGATAGATTTTTGACATATGACCCATGCGAAAGATATGTTGCGTTTGTATTGATCCAAATAATATAGAGTTTCTCATTAGACAGGCGAAAACGACGTGAGATGAAATATAATATAATGCATCACGGTTAAATATAAACATTCAAGTGAATCGACATCCGAGGAAATGTTTCAGAAAGACATCAACGACGCGAAACGGCTTATAAAAAGAAGAAACCTCTTAGTCATCATAATACACCGACAAACGGATGAGTAATGCAAAAATAGACTGTTTTTTTTTCTTTTACGCATTCTTTATTTACCTACAGTTTTCATCCGTGGATTGGCCAACTCGAATTAAAAAGCGTAAGTAAAGAATTTCTGCCATCTGTAGATACAAAAAAAAAGCACTTTACTCTTCATTTGTCTAAGAGAGTGATGTGCAAAAGCATTACTAATTCTTCCTTTAAGAAAATAGGTTGGTTTCTCTTCCTTCGTATTAACATGCCTGGTTGAAATATGAACCAATAAAGAATGTAGCAAAAAAACAAAAACTGAGTGCAAACGTCATCAGACTAGAGGTACAATATGAGTTGAAAGAAACAGAATGACGTTTGAGGTATCACATCAAACAAAATCCATGAAGTCTTCCTGTTTCACATATTTCTGTCTTATCATGTCTGACTCATCCATATGACTCATCACTTGTTTATATATAATATTTGTAGAAAACAGTTTCATATTGCATAAATGAACCATCGTGTTTAACTATGTCATCGAACAACTCACAGAGAACAGATTGTTTACGAACACAAATTCCGATCATCACTACTGATGAAAATATTCTGGATCAACTTGAACAAGTTCAATATGAGGAAAAATCTGATCGACAGGTTTCTATTTTATTATTTCAAGAAGAAGAAAATCGATTCTTTTACCTTTAGAACTCGACACAGAAGAAATTCAAACCTAAGGTGAATGATTTAATTTGTGTCGTTTGTGGATCACCAGCAAGTGGATATAATTTCGGTGCAATCGCGTGTGAAAGTTGCAAAGCTTTCTTCCGTCGAAATGCTCGAAAAGATCCGGTAAATTATTACGATCTTTCAAGCGCAATAAGAATGTTTTTTTCTTTGTAGAAATCGCTCTGTTGTGTGGAGAAAGGTGATTGTAAAATAACACCTTTCACACGTCGTTTTTGTTCGTCTTGTCGGTTAACGAAATGTTTAAGCAACGGTATGCAATGTGATCGAATTTGGACGGTAATGGTGAAACATAGAAGAAAGATTCGATTAGAAAATGACGTTTTAGATCGAACAAAAAGCAGAAAAACGTCGTCAAATAGAAGAGAATAAAAAGTTAGCGATGAATTCTAATGTTCAGTCAAATGAAGAAAAACTTCCTTCAACATCGTGTTTAGATGATGTAAGAAGAGTAACAGTTAGATTTATTATCTTCTTTTATCTGCTTTTCAGCTATCAATGGACACGAATATTCTTTTCACAGATTTTACTGAATTTCTCTTCCCTCAGGCTCAACTCAATGCAAATGATTTACAAAGAATAGAAATAATATCCGATTCTTATCAAAGACGTATCGAGTTTGGTAAGCACGTCCTGTTCCAGACTCGACTATTTTATATTCTAATCGTTTTTAGCGGCTCGTGAGGGTCTCCCTTGGGATCCATCTGTACCTACGAAAACATTTATTCAAGTTCTCAACAGTCATTCTGTACACGTCATGCGATTGTTATCATTCTTCAAACAAATTCCCGAGTTTAATCAATTAAATATCAATGATCGAGTAACTTTAATTAAATACAATCTCGATACACTTCTCGGTATCAATTGCGTTCTTTGGTATAAAAAAGAAACGCATGAAATGATCGAAGATGATGCCGATGTTCCATCAAATATGCAATTCTATCAAATCGTTCATGGTTACAAAACGTGTCTTGCAACCCGAAAGATTTTTCTTTCACTTTTACATCTCGCTAGCTACGATCGAAAAATCATCCAACTGATGCTCATTATCCTTCTTCTCACTAAAGGTTTCTCAATAATAAATCCTTCCCATGAGCAAATCTTCAACGATGAAACGTCTGTCGATCAACTGCACAATTACTACACAGAATTGTTATGGAAATACATGGAAACAATGCATGGATATGCCAAAGCAGTTAATCTTTTCAGTGAACTTCTTGCTCATATCATTTCATGGCAAATGATTCATGAAGAAATGAGAAATAACATACTACGGACTTTATCACCCGATGATACGAATGAACTGTTGCCAATTATGAAATCAATATTACGTGTTTCGTGATTTCTTTCTCAAAATTTTATTTTAGTTTAGAATTTTTGAGGAATCATGGCATTTTTATCGTTGAAAATGTCTCTTTACTTTCCTGGTAAATATTTGTTGTCAGGAAAGTAAATCGCGTAAATTTCATCAGAGAAAAAGGTTGGTGTTGTGTCAAATATATAAAAATATACTTCGTGCACTGCAAGATAATCGGTAAAACCTTGAGCAAATTCGATAACACGATACACGACGAGATAGATGAGATTGAATATCCTTCACTGCAGTGGAAATAGCGAATATTAGTGGCTATGAATTACCAGAAATTCTGCAGAAACTCTAAATGGAGTTTGTAAAAAATCATCATGCTGCACGGTAAGATGAAGTAGTTCATCCTGTCTTGCAGAGCTGACAGGTCAGAAGTAGTGAACTCTTTCCTGTGTTCAGCTCTCTTATGTAATAGAAAACAATGAATTACTTTAAATACAAACGATTCGCAATAATGAGTAATCATATTTATTCATTTGATTCTCTATTTGACCATAGTCGTCAAGAAATCAACACTATCTATGACGAATGTTTTCATTGGATCAATTTTTGACATTTCCTTATTATCCCCAATGTTTCCCTATTGTTGTGTCATCTACAAAGAAACAAAATTCGTAAAGATTGACTCTTGAGTATTATCCGAAGATTTCATTGAAGACATCTGACATCACTTTTTTCCTTTTCATTTTAACGTAAATCCTTTCGAAGACACTCTTGTTCGGTGTAATAATGAAAGACCAGTTGAAAAGAATTTCTAAAAAGTGATTTTCTCGAGAAGATTTTGCAATTCTCACTCTTCTATTGTTTTCAAAGTTCTTTGATTTACTAAATAATATCTGTTAGTACTTGGTTCTTTTCTAGATAATCGATTTAATTGTTAACTGTAGAACGATGTCTTCTCAAGTTGATCGTCATGCAACGATAAGTTTACGAAACATCATCTTCTTCCTATAGATAATTAAAAAATATATGTCGCCACTTCAATTTTACATATAAAACTCTTACGTATTTTTTTATTCAAGTATTTAATTCGTCATTATTGTTGATACATAACAATAATCAAACGAATGAAAGAACAATAAACACAGACAAACACAAATCGCAACATGCTATAAGCTATTTGTGCTAAAATCTTTGAATTTACTATGAACAGTTTAAGATCTATAAGATAAACAATTGATAGTATCAACACTATCACAATAATAATAATTATCTGCATCTATTTAACTGTAGATACTTTCATATAGACGATAATCGTCAACATCCTCTAGAAAATGCATATCATTTATTGATATTTTAAATAAATTGTCTATGATCAGTTTGTCTCCTAGGGAATAAACACTTCCGCAGAGTCTAGTTCGCCTCTACCACCAAGAGCCAACGTTCTTCCATCTATCAATGTACAAGCAGCAAGCTGCTCTCGTTTAACATTCATACTGCCAGTAACTTTCCATGTATTTGTAGATGGATGGATCATACAGCTCAACACTATTGAGCGCATCACTATACCAAGCTCCGCCGGCAATTAAAACTTTTCCGTTTGTCAATACGGTTGCAATGTGATATATTCGTGATCTGTTCATTTTACCAGTAACTGATCAATTTCCTGTTGATGCATCATGTAATTTGGTACTTCGTAGAAAGCTACTAGTGCCTCCACCTGTAATTAGTACTTTTCTGTTCTTTAAAATAGTCAATGTAGCATCCGTTCGTGCTTCAATCATCTTCCCAACCAGGCGCCATTCTAAAAACGAAGTCTCTGCATTTTTGCAAATACAGATTATTCTAAACTTACTCGATGTATGAGCCGTAGTCGTAATTGTACGTTTCGTTGTAATTGAAGATTTATCAAAAATGAGAGATGAAATAAAAATGTTAGTTCTCTATCATTCGATTATACTTGAATATGCCATTCCAGCAAGCACATTTATGTGTTAATTGAAATTTATAGTTATTGATTGGATCTTCACAAAAAGCTTGAAATTCATTATTTCCTTCAAGGGAACATTGTAATAATATGGTAACTTTCTTATTCATATATGCATAATTAATTGAAAGCATATACTATCTGGATCCGAACTTGGATTCCATGAGGCGCTTTCTTGAGTACCAAGAGTAAATGTCTTTCTATTATCATTCGAAACCAAACCTAATAGCGCATAGATGAAGAGAGGTATATTAATTACTAATTTTGACAAATAGATACACCAATACAATTAGTTCCTTGAGAAAATGATATACATGGATTGTAACTATATTCTATAAATACCTTGAGTATCAAAGTCTAAGATCAAAAACCAAGTAAATACTAAAATTCGATGCTGTTCCTGTTGTTTCATCTGAATATGCCGCTTTTTCATCTGTTCCACCGATAAAACTACAATCGATAACACCTTTTCCCGCATATTCAAATCGATGTGGATCAGATGCGCCATTAGGTGGATATAATAGAGTTGAAATGACAATGAAGATTTGTCAAGATCATCACTATTATGATGAAAATTTGCCTTGAAAAAGGATTTCATCTTTCATATATGTTTTAATAGAGTTAAAATATTTGTTTACTTTCCTATCTATGATTGGATAAAGATTCGTCTTTTCTGTATCAACGATAAAGAGAACAAGTTCGATGGTATTCTTGTATAGCAAGTTACTCTTTTAAGTAGAATATTCTTGCGTTTTGACCTATTTATAAAACCGTGGATATCCCTTGCTTGAAAACTATCCAAAAAATCTATATATCTCCATTTACCTTTCTTTCTAATCTAGTGATATAAATATGCTTTTCTTGCGAGCAGACATATGTATACATTTAATAATGAATGTACTTTGCATTATTTCGATTTACGAGAATAAGTACGAATGCAATAACAAGGAAATCCACTTAATAAAGCTTGTGTATGAGATTCGTATATGATCGATATTAACTTCATAGTTCAAATCGTCATCTTTCATTTACAGACTTGGCTTATGATCGGAGATAGTATGAGAAAGATTTCTATACGCGTAAAAAATATTTTTTTTCATGAATAAACACGCAATGACAACGTTAATATTCGAGTGAATTTAATTTCGACTTATTCAGCATTTGAAATCTTCGGCCTTGAGTTTACCGGCATTGATGGCAGCTAAAATAAATTCTTTTATACCTTCTTCCATTGCACCTTGACGACTAGCTTTTCCTCGCCCTTCACCCACAATACCTGGAGCTCGTGCTTCGCACTGAAATTTAGCATCCCAAACCCATTCTAGTTTGTGAATACGTCCTTTCAAATTGCCCACACAATCAACGTTGCATATTTTAATAGATTGATCATCACTCCATGTATTTAGCGACCAAATGATCTTACCTAAGTCTATTGCACAACCAGCCCAATTGTTAGTAGCTAAACTCGCTATACAGGCTTTTGGAAATTCAATTTTTTGTCGTTGTTGGCGTTCCAAAGACTCAGGTCTGTGATGGTGACGACGTGCGTTGATTATATTTGGTGAAACCAAAGCTATAATAACCAGCATGATCAAGGCCATGTTCGAATGCATCGTAGAAAATTGATTTTTTATGAATGATGTAGATATACTGNATTTAGATGAATATCCGCGAGGAAAACGTATTTGGAAACGGCGACATTTGTGTGATTCACTTAGCGAAGATATCTTCTTGATTCGTTCGTCATGTACAACTGATAATCCACATTCATTTCTTCTCGGTTTACTCATTGTTGAATGGAACGGAACATGGCGTGTTGATATTTTCTCTTCGTCGATACAGAAACTTCACACAGGTTTTCGTTTTAGTGGCTGGACACGTGATGTGTGGCTTTCCGATTGGTCGCCTTACGAATGTTGGTTTGTTGGAAGTCGATGTCGTTTGATGATCGATTCGAAAGGACAACCGAAGAATATTTTAGTCGACGGGGTCGATTGTGATATGAAAAACATCACTTGGATGAAACAGATCGATCAGATCAAACTAATGGTCATACGAGAAGAAAAGTTTTTGATATTTTTCAAATAAAGAAAAAAAACAAATGTCAATCTCGATATTTTGAGTAAGGATTGAGACCAAAGAGTTTTCGTCAAATTTCAGGAAGGATTTGTTGAAATATCGCTGAGAGTGGAGCTTTGATCTTTCCATTCACAGCATAAAGTTAAGCATCACCAATCCTTACAAAAAAATCATCAGAAAATATTTCTTAACTTCCAGAAAATCGAATAGAAATCAATCATTTGGTAAGAAATTTCTCGCATCGACATAGACCTGAACAGAATTTTCTTTCAATTCTTGTGGAAAGATGTTTGTGGGCAAAATCAAGATCGTCTCATCAACATCGTATAGTGACGTCTTTTTCCAACAAAGTCAAAAGTCCTTGTGCAATGAGATTTACCAGAATCGTTGCATATCTCGAGTCATCTGTTATTAAAAGGATTAACTGTTCCCTTGCTTCGTCTTTCAATATTTGAACATGATCATCACGTGTCTTAAAAGAACCGAAAGACGACTCTCATCGACAAGATGAGAATACTGAATTCGCTTTTGTAATTCAATCTTTTTTCTTTGTTGTTATAATCTTCAATGATTTTCAGACGTTTTTGAGAGATTAAACTCTTTTTCCATTTTCAATCGCTTCGAGCTGCATGAATGCCATCATTTGTTGGATCTAGATCGAAGAACAAGGTACAAATGAATCCCAAAGTATAATTTCATTGCAAACTAGTTTAGCAACATCATTTTCATTGAGAGCCATTTACAAGAATGAAATGAGTAAACTAAGCAGAAATGCATAAATAGAAAAAAACTGAACTGTTTTGCGAAACAAAGCGCATAGTCTGATACGCATCGAGTATTACGTCAGATTTACGAACGTTGAATATACATGTTGATGTTTTTTTCATCACACCTATCCGTATCGCGGATGCGGACAGATAGATAGTATTTGTTTATGCTATTATTTTCCGTCCGCGGTAGTATAGTGGTTAGTATCCCCGCCTGTCACGCGGGAAACCGGGGTTCGATTCCCCGCCGCGGAGTATTCTTTTTTTTCTTTGCATTACCTTTTATCAAAAACAAAGATACGTGCATTTTTTATTTTGAAAAGAATTAATCTTTTAAACTCGTTTGTTTTTTACGATGCAATAAGAAGAAAAAAAGAAGTCACTCCGCGGCGGGGAATCGAACCCCGGTTTCCCGCGTGACAGGCGGGGATACTAACCACTATACTACCGCGGACATTCTACTTTCAATTAAATTAACTCCACTAAACTGACCTCACGGTTTTCCACTTTCTGAAGAAGAACAAACATTTAGGAAAATCTTCGATTACACGCATCATATTCATGGTGTTCCAAATGAGAAGAACATTCATTTTGAGTATAGACATGTTCGACCTCTATCGAATGAAATCTGTTGGTTTGTTCGATTACCCATCAGAAAAAAGAACGAAACGATTGATTGAAAAGCTCTTGAAGAAGTTTACTCATGTAAATAAAATAACTGTTTAAACATAGTACAACATGGCAACAGCACGACCGGCAGCTGATCCAGCAGCTCTAAAAGCCAAAGTTGTTGAAGTAAAAAATCTTTTTTTTCTTCTTCAATCTATTCTTATCAACGATTCTTCTTTGTAGCTCGAACGACAAGTTGCTGACTATAAAACAAAACTCGATGAATTACGTCGCGCTAAAGCTACAACTGTTGTCAAATTAGAAAAAGAATATGTTAATACCAGTGTACCTGGGTTTGTTGAAAATTGAACGAAACTTTTGAAGGATAAACTTCTTTATTCGTAGGTTGAATCGTCCGGAAAGAACAAAGCCATGTGAAAAATGCGAAGAATATGAAAAACTTCTCGAAAACGAAAGAAAATCGAGTACACAACTAAAGAAATTACTCGAACAAAAGGATAAACAACCATCAAGCAATTCTGGTCCATGTTCAAAATGTAATGATCTGAAAAAATTACTGGATATTGAAAAATATAATAATGAACAATTGGCCGAACAATTAAAACTTGAAAAGAAACAAACGGAAGAAGAACGAACTGCTAAAGAGGTTCTCCTCCATGTTTACAACAAAATATTTTTCTACGATTGATTTTTTCAGGTACTTGATCGAGCGTTGGACATAACACAAAATGATTTAACCGAAACCAAGAATCTTTGCGAAGCATTACGTGTGGAAAACGAAGATTACAGGGTAAATTATGAATTCACCTTTGAAGCAAAGCGAAAAATTGTTCTTTACAGAAAGTATACGAACGAATGAAACGAGATCATTCAGAAAAAATGGCTGATTTAGCTCAACGAGAAGAAGAAGCAAAGAAACAAGTAAGTCTCTTTTTTGCCCGAACACCCCTCCAACTAAAATATGAAATCATACGAAGGTCGCAACATGGGAACAAATGTACAAAGAATGGATGGCAACAATGGAACGCCGAGTTAATAATTTACAAGTGACCAATGAAGAACTTCAAGTAAAACATCAATTTGAAAGAAAAATCTTTTTTTCATTAATGAAATCTTTTAGACTTGGTTACATGATGATAATGAAAGAAGTCCTTACCGTCCAGTCGGTAGTGGTGGTAATAATAATCATCCTGCAAATCAACGACGATAAACAAATGAAAATTCTTCCTTAATCGTGCTCGTTTTGAATTTTTTTTAACAATCAGCGTGTTGTTTTGTATTCTGTAACGAAATCTCATGATAATCATTTGCACCGTCCATTTATTTTGCCTTATTTTATATATATTTTTCAATCACTTTTATTTTTAGATGTAATTTCAATTTTCCATCAGATCTCGTTGAGAATGAGTAAATACGAACAAAGTTTTGTCTTGAAAAGATTTATGTTCTTGTTGTTTAGTGTCATATCCATTACGAGAATATATTTCCTCTAAAAAAGATGATGATTATCATCGGTCGTATTCATCAAATGTACGAAAAACTTATCCTGAAGTAAGAAATTGTCTTCCTCAAACCAAATCTTTTTTTCTTAATTTTATCCATAGGAATCGTCTTCAAATCGTTTTCTCTATTTGATTGTTCTCATCGTTCTCCTGATAGTTCTTTCGATATTTTATTCATATTATACATACATGGATCCAACTTGTTTCAATGAGGAATGTACAAGTTTTGTGGTAAGTTAGTTTCTTAAAATAACTGACATTTAATTTATTTGTATTTTGTCAAGTGTCATGCGTATTCGGAAGGTTTAGTTGGTGGTCATTTATGCCCAGAACTATGCACAACGAAAACAATTCAACTGCAGAATTGTTTAGGCGCTCATAAACATTTTCGTTCACGGGTAAAATGGATTTTTTTACAAATCACAATGTTATGGTTCACTTTTTTTATTCAGTTATTTGAAGATAATGATGAACATCAAGTCATTCGTTGCTATTTAAGACATCCACTGAGCAAATCGAATCCATCGGGAGACGTGAAAGAACATTTTGACTTTCCTCAAGATGACGCGACGTTAGATGTACTTTACAACGCACTGCAACAACATGTTCAGGTATGTTTTATCGATAAATTTGATGGGATTAAACCAGCTTTTGTTTAGCAAACAATCACATTAGAAAATCCCGAAGCTTTCGTTGAACAATTGATGACTTTGGCTGATTTTAACAAAGATGGCAAAGTAAGTTCTCAAGAAGATTTCGTTCTTTTCATTGTACATTTGTTTAGATAAGTTTGTCTGAAGCACGTAGTATTTGGTCACTTGTTCAAATCGATGAATTCATCTATACATTATTACTCTCCGATAAATTTTACACACCAAAGATAGTTGGTACATGCGGTCATATATTTGCAGTTGAAAAAGTCCTCAATGCTAAATTACCTTTCGATGACAAACAAGGTTTACAATATTTTCCTTCAAAATCAACTTCACATCTTGACTTTGTCTTTTCTAGAACTACTTACAGGATCAGAACGACCGAATTGGTACCAACGAGTACGATTAGCTGTTGGAATTACCGAATATTTCAGTGATACATGGCATTATCAAGATTCTGATCAACATCTACATTTATGTCAACCATTAGCTAAGTCATTCGGCTATGACAAAGATTATGAATCTAAAGTAAATCTTTTCAAATTCGATGTCGAGAGATCGAGTAGTACAGGTAGATACGAAGAAGACGTTTGCGAGTGAATTAACTAAACATTTTCTAATTGCAAATAACACCGAATGTGTTTCACTCTCATTACTATTCTCAGTATTTTCACCCTTCGTTACCTTTTATTTAGATGTTAAAAACTAATCACATCATTTCGTCGAAATCGATCTTATCTCGTCTTCCAAATCAATGTCGTTCGAACAAAGACTGTTCCTATGATTCGTATTGTCATGGAACATGTAATATGTCATCGAATCTTTGTCAAATGAGAGAATTTAATAAAGATTCTCTCCATGAACTCTGTTCGTTATTATCATCATTAGTTCAACCGGATGCGAATGTCACATTTCTCACGGAATTCAATTTGTTGAATCGACAATGTCAACAAATAGTGACAGATGGAAGTATTTATAATAGTGATTTTATGGATTTAACTTCCTTACAAATTCGACAGACACTTTTGTTACAAAATCTGAAGAATCTTTTTTGGACAAATATCGAATATCAAATGAGTAAAATAACGAAAAAATCGACGAAGAAGCCTGCGCCTCCTCCTATTCACTCAATTAAATAAACATTTTCTTCACGTTGTTATTTCTGTACTTTATTTCACAAATAAATTCTCAAGTTCGTTTTCAGATCGATGAATATCGAAGAATTTCTTCAATGGTTCAATTCTATCGGAGTTCACACAGACAATGTCACTGTTTCCTATTCCGATCACCACGGTTTTGGTCTTTATTCTTGTCAACCATCTATCGAAAAAGATTCTGTTGTTCTCTCCATCCCCGAAGCGATCTTTATAAAACCTTCTTATCAAATCGAAGATTTCTCAGGCTTTGAACACATCATTCTTCACTTGTTACAAGAAAAATCGCATCCATATGTGAAATTTCTACGAAGTATTTCATGTATTCCATCTTGGAGACGATTTTCGACTGAACAATATCCTCGACAATTAACGAATCCAATGAAAAAGCATCTGGAGAAATACAATCAATCACGACACAAATTTGCGCAATACAACGACGAAGAATTCCTATGGGCTTATTATGCGATCAATACTCGATGTGTTCACTTCGATATGGAAAGAGATTCGAAAGAACAAGATGACAATCTTTGTCTCATTCCATACTTAGATTTTGTCAATCATTCAGTTCAACCAAATACAATTTCTAAGTTCAACCAGACGACACGTTCGTATGACATTTATGCAATCAAATCCATTGAATTGAACGAGCAAATTACATTTCTTTACAATCCGCATTCGAATGTTGATTTGTTTATTGAATATGGTTTCGTTCTTCAATCAAATCCTTACAATCAACTGAAGCTGGAAGACGATTTACAACAAATACTTTCCAATGAACAAATTCAGCTATTCAAATCATTCAACTATTGGAATTCTCTAGAATTTTATCCAGGTGATAATGATCTTTCATGGACAGTTATCAAAGCGATTGAGTTGAATTTCAATCAAACCGAATGGTCGCCATACGATGATCCATCATCGAAAGAATTAACCAAGAAAATTCAAGAATTTGTCAAATTAGTTCAAGAAAATATCGAAAAAGATTTTCAACGGTGGTCTACCGAATATTTTCTTAATGAAAAGATGATCCTTTATAAAGATTTTCAAACTATTCTTCATGATACATCTATTGTTATCAATAAATCGACTGTTGTTACTTAAAATCTCATCTCAGAAGATATTCAACGATTAGCATTGGTTTTTGCCAATTAAATGAATACCATTTCGAAAAAAATCCGTTCTTATCAAACAATAAAGACTGAAATCTGAACGAGAGAATTAAAATAAGCTCTAGACTCTTCCACGAAACATATAGACACACTCATAGTTCACTATGGGCCAAAATCCATTTTTGTTAATTAAGTATCGGATAATCAACAAGTAATTGACTGATTTGAGAGAAGTTATGCCATGTCTTCTCTTTTCTAAAAGTAATTCCAATATGGGCAACCATCCTCTGATCTTGATGATAGAGCAGTGTGAAAACGCACTGCTTACTTCCAGAGACATCTATGGTACGGAAAGTGTCATCAAGTATAGAGAAAAATAAATCATAAGAATTTAATTTCAAAAAATTCTTCGTAATTCATGGAAGTTTAATATTCAAAATAAATCGATTGGTACCATGATCCTATCCAATCTCAATCGACTGTGATAAGACAGTTGTTTTCGTCGTCTCGATCGCGAATAGCTTAGTAAATTTTCGAATTCCATACAAAAGCATTCAAAATGTCAAGTCTTCCTGAGAATTATCAACCTCCTGATCCAAGTTCACTACCAACGGGTCCATTAGATACCACAACATCAGCGTATGGGTTTTCTCATACCATGATTCGTATAAAAGATCCGCGAGTCTCGTTAGATTTTTATACTCGTATACTTGGAATGACTCTTGTTCGAGTGATGCCAATGCCTGCTGGTAAATTCACGAATTATTTCCTATGCTATCCACAATCCACCGTCCCTGATCGAGATAATCACGATCAGCTGATGGGTTGGTTATGGCAACAACAAGGTATTCTCGAATTATGCCACAATTGGGGTACAGAATTATCAGAAAGTGATTTTCAAGGTTACAAATCCGGTAATGAACCCGAACATAAAGGATTTGGACATATCTGCGTGTTTGTCGACGATCTTCATAAGGCTTGTGATCGTTTTACGTCATTGGGCGTTCGATTCAAAAAACGCCCCGAAGACGGACAAATGAGACACATCGCATTTATCTTGGATCCTGATGGATATTGGATTGAAATTATCCAAAAAAGTGCTGGTGATAAAGAAGTAACAAAGAATTGATCAGTCGATTTTAGTTTTATATTCAACGTTTTCTTCCATTAGGAAACGAAAAGAACAGTTTAATGCGTTTTAAGTAAATAAGAGATTCTATGCTATACTTTGTCTTTGCTATAATATGACTTATTCTATCTGTTGTTAACAGACGAACAGTTGTGAAATAAAATGGTTTTAAATTGAGTAAATTTTCATGTAAGTACTTATCGAGAAAATCACATTTCATCAATCTTTCCACATTATGTGGTCGTGACACTTGGTGTGATAATAAATGAAACATTTCTGCTTTTTTACTTAACTCTTTTGATGTTCTTTCCGAGCAAGCAATATGTTTTTGAACAAACGGTCTTGATTACCATCTTAATCAAATTGTTACAATTACTGTTTAGCTTTCCTATGTCCGACAAAGCTCAACTTCTTTTCTCTCATTTTCAGATTAACAGCGACAAGGCTTTTCAATGTCTTCAAAAAAGTCGTCGGATGCCACAAAATGGGAGAATTCCAAGGTTTCGATAGAATCCTGAGCATTTCCGGTATTTTCCGATAAATTCCTACCGGTTATTGATGAAAAATAAGTGTTCGTATACTACTTTCTGTCTTTAACTCAGGTCTTAGTGCAGATTTTCGTCGAACATCGTGATGGCACATATCAATCTGATAAACACTCATATTATTAGTAAAATTTAATCACTTCCGACAAAGATTTTTGAAGTCTCGAGCAATAACCAAGCCGATGTATTGAATCCATATTGTTTACTCGGAAAGAATATGAAAATAGTTAGTTAAAAGGCAGAAATTCTCCATAGAATATCACAGCGAGTGTTGCAAACACATAATGTGAAAAGACTGATGAAATGTAATTTTCTCGATTGAATACAGCGCAGTTTCCAGAACTTTTAGATCGCCCTATGTGACTGAATAGTCTTTGAGTATTTTATCACTGCGAACTAATTACTTGATTGCCATTGCGTTTATTTTTCTGTATGAACAAAGGTAAATGAAGATGATTTTCTTCATCCAGAAGCATTGCGTCACGACAGCAGGCATGAAGATTGTTGTGATTGATGTCATTCAGACGAGAAAAGACGGAGTAAAACCGTTTTTTTCTTTTCACTGATTCATATTATTTTTGGAAAAAAAACAGAAACTAGAAAAGTAATTCAACATTTGGAAAAAAGAATTGTTAATGCGTTGAAACTATTGATTGTTTACGTAAATTCGAAGCCGATGGCGGTATAACAGTTCCACTATGTTGTCGGACTAAACGCATGTGAACCATTTGGGAAATTTCTTCTCGTTCAGATTTCGTTCGAAATAAATTGAAAAATCTTTCAAAACAATATAACTGAAAGTAACGATAGAAGATTTTGCGAATATCTTTTCGAAATGATCTCGCGCTCAAACAATACACATAAAAATTCAATGAACAATTTGCTAAAATAACGATACTTGTCCAATATGATAAGAGATAATCAAATGTTGACCAATGAACAATTGTTGCGGTTAACGATGAGAAACAGAATAAAAATGAATGAATTATTAAGACAACATTCATCCATGATGTTCGTGGACGATTGTGTACGACAAGACCATCAGCACCTTCTTTGTTCGTAATCGATCCACGGTAACTTGTGCGAGCAACTGTTGATGAACTACGCGATCCGATAGATGAACTCGATTGAATAACATGAACGATAATTCCAATATCGAAAAGAATAACAAGAAGTGACGGAATGATTTCCGAAAATATTGAACGTAATGTTGTATAATTGAAAGCGAAGGCCACGTCAGTTAAAAATGTTCTCCAAGACGACGAGATCGACTCTTTCAATGCACAAACTGTTCTATATGGTGGAAAGATTGTTGTGTCGATAATCTTCGTCGTTATTCCTCCAAACGATGAAGAATTGCTTGATCTAAAGAAAGAGAAAAAAAAGCAACGTAGATCATCAATTATTCTCCTAGGGGTTCCATGATAATGATCAAAACCTGATCATTCTGACGCAAAACAGATTCTCGATGTTTCCTGAGTATATACAAATATTAACAGATGGTTCCCGTTCATACCTAAATGTGAAATTGCTTTGTTCATTAGTTAAAGGAATATGTTTTGGTTGATAAAAATAAACAGTCGGCCCAGTCAGCGCACCAACAATCAAAAACGAAACCAAAGCCATTGAAGCAAATTTGTATCTTTTCAATGATGGATGATTTATATATGAACTATAATTAATTGTTACATAAGTAAATCGTTCGTATGTCCAAGCAACGATAATAAAAGCAGATAGGATACGCAGACACGACGAAAAGCGATATAATTTACAATTAAACCATGTTTGACCAACGGTATAAGTTATCCATCGGCGTGTTTTTGAATGTAGAATAAACGAATAACGAAACACACATAAGAGATTAATAATCAACGATGCGATAGCTAAACGTCCGTAACTCGTTCGACGAAATTTCCGAGAAGAAAATACAATGAGACCAAGAAGATTTCCAATTGTACCAAGTATAAGCATCAGAATACAAATCCAATCAAGTATTTCATTTGTTATTTGTCGCGACATAACATTATATCTAAAATAGAACTGGTTATTCTCATAGAAATATATATAAATATAGAATGTTATCGTGAGAAATAAAACATAAGAAAAGAATATTAAATGAAATGACTCTCATATGAGTTGAAATAAGGAAGGATTATTAGAATAGTAACTTGAGAATTTTCTAATAAATCTTCATCAATGGGACATTTGAAAATTAGTAAATATTAATATTTGTCGTTTTTAGATTTCTACTGAGACACAATGATTATTTCTTTGCGGCAGAATAAAAATATTCAAATTGTATTCATATGTTGCGAAATTATCATTTATGACATAGAATCAAAAATTGATTTATGCAAGTTCATAAAGAATACTTTCAATTATCTCCAATGAATAATAAAGATCCAGTGCTTAACCACTAACAGGTACGACAAATAGAAGAAATCAAACGTTAAGAGAAAAAAAAAATGTTTTTTTCACTTACTAGAGTATCGGAAAGAGAGAAGAAAAGAACTTTCTTTCTAATGGTACAATTAAAAATGAACGTGCAAGTTCCGATTGTGATGAATCATTTGAGAAGTTTTACAGAAGCAAGTACGGCAAATCTAACTTTGAACACGACCTTTCTTTTCTTTCCTTTTCCTCCTGTTCTCATTCAATTAATTGCCGATAACATAATCGACGACATCCGTTTTTCATCGACATCCTTTTACTCAGGTTTAAAATTTACAATTGTCGCAGAAGTGAAGACTTTCTCGATGAGATCGAGGGAAGATGTCTCTTGTAAAACAAATAATATGAAATATAAAAGACATCAAACGAATCAAACTGAAATTAACCAGATGTTGAAATGCAAGTCAATCTATCACGAAAGAACGCATAATAATCAATAGGATGAGATCATTTCTTCTTCATCAGTGCGCACTAACTTTTATATCAAGCGGTACTCCAGACAGTAAAAATTTTTTTTGTTTCATCTCATCTTCATTTAATGTTACCGTATTAAGTCAATTCATTTGATTAATTTAATTATGAAAAAATCGTTGTAAAAGGACGTGTTTTGATATTAGATACCTAACAATTCGTTGTTGTGCTAATGAAAATCAAGAAAAGTTCATCTCGGGATCGATAATTGATCTCGCATTATATGAGGAAAGAATTGATGATCGATTAGCAAACATAAGATTTCTATTTTCTTTGAAAAATATGTTTCATCTTATGGGAATCAATAGTCTATTCATCACACGTTGTCATATCAATGTGAAGTAACGTATTTCTGCGAAAGAAACTGTCTTTTCTATGTCGAAATACAAGAGAACAATGAGATACACGAGAAAAACTACTAACAATCAATCAAAATAAGTCTTATCACTCGATTTCTGTTCAACTTTCTGCTTCCGATCAAAAGCAAAAGCACAAATTTTCTACTGTATTGAGCAAATCACTGTCCTAATCATATTTACCATTGGTTAGAAGCCTAACAACGTTAATCATGGGACTTACCGTCGGACATAATTATAGAAGAAGAAAATTACTACTGAGACATTTCATTTCCTATAGTAGATCGTTTTGTTTGTACTAAATAGTACTTAGCATAATGATAGACCTTCGAACGAAAAAGGAAGAGAAAAAAAAGGGAATGTCAATCATGAGATTGTGTCACGACTTCTCAATTCAATAATACAAAACGGAATATTTCATTGACTATCATTCTATCCATCAAGAGGTTCATGTAGTAAAAAAAAGAAGAAAAAGGAGGAAAATGCTCGAGAAAGGAGAATTCTCTTTCGAGTCGATCAATCATCGAAGGAAAAAACGCGAATATACTGAAGAGTTATTTTTAATTGATGATGAATAGATAAATCATCAGAATCCATTTCACATCATATCCGTTCCATTAGCTAAATACCATCTCATCGCAGTTAAGCTACTTTGACTGTTTTTTTTTTAAAAGAAAAAAATCATTTCTTTCTTCGAAAACCGATGAAAAAGATTGCGATTCTTATTTTAATCATTAGACTATGTTTGACAATATCTATAATTACCTCGAACATAATAACGTATCTTTTTATTGAAAATAAAAGTTGTTGTAATGACAAAAGATGTTACAACGCATTCAAGTCAAAGACGTGTCACAGACGATGACAAATGTACGACGAGAGTTTTTTGTAAGAAGACAGAAGATTAATGTTTTTGATGTTTGAATTTAAGTACGTCGACAAATTTTCACTACCTGATCTCATCTGTTAATGAGTTCTTGTAATGCTTTTACATAAGATTATTACGTATTTATTAAGAAAGCATATGCGCTAAGGTTAATGTCTTTCGAAAGAAGATGAAAAGAAAGAATTTGTGAAGATCTTTTAATTCTTGTTTGAGTTATGCGTAGGAAGAGAAATGATTATGAAAGATATTCTTTCCTACACTAATTTCTACTTAAAATAACGCAAATAGGAGATCGATTTTTGATATGTGACCCATGCGAAAGATATTTTGCATTTGTATTGACTCAAATAATATAGAGTTTCTCATTAGACAAGCGAAAACGACATGAGATGAAATATAATACAATGTCTCATGGCTAAATATAAACATTCAATTCAATCAACATCCGAAGAAATGTTTAAGAAAAACACCAAAGACGCGAAACGGCTTATAGAAAGAAGAAACCTCTTAGTCATCATAATGCACCAACGAACAGATGAGTAATGCAAAAATAGACTGTTTTTTTTTTTCTTTTACGCATTTTTTATTTATCTACAGTTTTCACCAGTGGATTGGTCGACTCGAACTAAAAAGCGTAAGTAAAGAATTTCTGCCATTTGTAGATACAAAAAAATGGATTTCACTCTTCATTTGTCTAAGGAAATGATCTGCAAAACCATCACTAATTTTTCCTTTCAAAAGATACGTTGGTTTCTTTTCTTCGTATTAACATGCCTGGTTAAATTATGAAACAATAAAGAATTTGACAAAAATAAACAAAAACTGAGTGCAAACGACATCAAATTAGAGGTTCAACATGAGTTAAAAGAAACAGAATGACGTCTCAGGTATCACATCAAACAAAACACATGAAGCCTTCCTGTTTCACATATTTCTTTCTTATCATGTCTGACTCATCGATATGACTCATCACTCATTTATATATGATATTTGTGAAAAACAGTTTTATATTGTAGAAACGAACTATCGTGTTTAGTTATGTCATCGAATAACTCACAGAGAACAGATTGTTCACAAACACGAATTCTGATCATCACTACTGATAAAAATATTCTGGATCAACTTGAACAAGTTCAATATAATGAAAAATCTGATCGACAGGTTTATATTTTATTATTTCAAGAAGAAGAAAATCGATTCTTTTACCTTTAGAACTCGACACAGAAGAAATCTAAACCTAAAGTGAATGATTTAATTTGTGTCGTTTGTGGATCACCAGCAAATGGATATAATTTTGGTGCAATCGCTTGCGAAAGTTGCAAAGCTTTCTTCCGTCGAAATGCTCGAAAAGATCCAGTAAATTATTACGATGTTTCAAACGCAATGAAAATACTTTTCTTTATAGAAATCGCTCCATTGTGTGGAGAAAGGCGATTGTAAGATAACACCTTTTACACGTCGATTTTGTTCATCTTGTCGATTAACGAAATGTTTAAACAACGGTATGCAATGTGATCGAATTTGGACGGTAATTGTGAAACATAGAAGAAAGATTCGATTAGAAAATGAAGTTTTAGATCGAACAAAAAGCAGAAAAACGTCGTCAAATAGAAGAGAATAAAAAGTTAGCGATGAATTCCAATGTTCAGTCAAATGAAGAAAAACTTCCTTCAACATCGTGTTTAGATGATGTAAGAAGAGTAACAGTTAGATTTATTATCTTCTTTTGTCTGCTTTTCAGCTATCAATGGACACGAATATTCTTTTCACAGATTTTACTGAATTTCTCCTCCCTCAGGCTCAACTCAATGCAAATGATTTACAAAGAATAGAAACAATATCCGACTCTTATCAAAGACGTATCGAGTTTGGTAAGCACATTGAGTTCCGTACTCTACTATTTTATATTCTAATCATTTTTAGCGGCTCGTGAGGGTCTCCCTTGGGATCCATCAATACCTACGAAAACATTTATTCAAGTTCTCAACAGTCATTCCGTACACGTCATGCGATTGTTATCATTCTTTAAACAAATTCCCGAGTTTAATCAATTAGATGTCAATGATCGAGTAACTTTAATTAAATACAATCTCAATACGCTCCTCGGTATCAATTGTGCTCTTTGGTATAAAAAAGAAACGCATGAATTGATCGAAGATGATGCCGACGTTCCATCAAATATGCAATTCTATCAAATCCTTCATGGTTACAAAACGTGTCTTGAATCCCGAAAGATTTTTCTTTCACTTTTACATCTCGCTAGCTACGATCGAAAAATCATCCAACTGATACTCATTATCCTTCTTCTCACTAAAGGTTTCTCAATAACAAATCCTTCCGATGAGCAAATCTTCAACGATGGAACGTCTGTCGATCAACTTCACAATTACTACACAGAATTGTTATGGAAATACATGGAAACAATGCATGGATATGCCAAAGCAGTCAATCTTTTCAGTGAACTTCTTGCTCATATCACTTCATGGCAAATAATTCATGAAGAAATGAGAAATAACATATTGCGAACTTTATCACCCGATGATACAAATGAACTATTGCCAATTATGAAATCAATATTACGTGTTTCGTGATTTCTATGTCAAAATTTTATTGCAGTTTAGAACTTCTCAGAAATCACGACATTGTTATTGTTGTATATGTCCTTTTCGTTTCGTGATAAATAATTGTTCCCCGGGAAGAAAATCGCATAAATTGCAGCAGAGAAGAAGATTGGTATTGTGTCAAATATGTAAAAATACACTTCGTGTGCTGCTAAATAATCGGTAAAATCTTGAGCAAATTCGATAACACGATACACGACGAGATACATGAGATTGAATATCCTTCACTACAGTAGGAATAGCGAATATTAGTCGCTATGAACTACCAGAAGTTCTGCAGAAGCTTTAAATGGAGTTTTTAAAAAGTCATCATGCCGTACGGTAAGATGAAATAGTTCATCCTGTCTTGCAGAGCTGACAGGAAAGGAGTAGTGAATTCTCTCCTGTGTTCAGCTCTCGTATGTAATAGAGAACAATGAATTAATTTAAGTATAAACGACTCAAACTGATGAGTAATCATATTTATTCATTGGATACCCTATTTGATGCATCTCTTCGAACTTTCTCTTGAGAACATTTTAAAAATCTTCACCCATTCTATTCATGAATGTGATTGAATTGAAGATAGCTTTCTCTTTCAATTCTCAAAGAGAAAGTTTTTTGTCTTATGTATTTGATCATAGTCGTCAATAAATCAACATCATCTATAAGGTATTTTTCCTTATTGTTGTGTTATCTAGAAAAAAAACTAAATTTGTGAAGATTGACCCTCGAGTATTATCTGAAGATTTCATTGAAGACATATAGTATCACTTTTTTCCTTTTCATCTTAATGTAAATCTTCTCGATGACGCTTTTGTTCAATGTTATAAAGAAAGATCAGTTGAAAAAACTTTCTAAAAAGTGATTTTCTCAAGAAGATTTTGCAATTCTCACTCTTCTATCGTTTTCAAAGTTCTTCGATGTGCTAAATAATATCTGTTATTATTGCTTGATTCTTATTTTCTAGAAAATCGATTTAATTATTAACTACATAACGATGTCTTCTCAGCCTGATCGTTACGCAACGTTAAGTTTACGAAACATCATCTTCTTCCTATAGATAATTAAAAAATATCTGTCGCCACTTCAATTTTACATATAAAACTTTTACGTATTTTTTTATTCAAGTATTTAATTCGTCATTATTGTTGATACATAACAATAATCAAATGAATGAAAGAACAATAAACACAGACAAACACAAATCGCAACATACTATAAGCTATTTGTGCTAAAATCTTTGAATTTACTATGAACAGTTTAAGATCTATAAGATGAACAATTGATAGTATCAACACTATCACAATAATAATAATTATCTGCATCTATTTAACTGTAGATACTTTCATATAGACGATAATCGTCAACATCCTCTAGAAAATGCATATCATTTATTGATATTTTAAATAAATTGTTTATGATCAGTTTGTCTCCTAGGGAATAAACACTTCCGCAGAGTCTAGTTCGCCTCTACCACCAACAGCCAACGTTCTTCCATCTATCAATGTACAAGCAGCAAGCTGCTCTCGTTTAACATTCATACTGTCAGTAACTTTCCATGTATTTGTAGATGGATGGATCATACAGCTCAACACTATTGAGCACATCACTATACCAAGCTCCGCCGGCAATTAAAACTTTTCCGTTTGTTAATACGGTTGCAATGTGATATATTCGTGATCTGTTCATTTTACCAGTAACTGATCAATTTCCTGTTGATGCATCATACAATTTGGTACTTCGTAGAAAGTTACTAGTGCCTCCACCTGCAATTAGTACTTTTCTGTTCTTTAAAATAGTCAATGTAGCATCCGTTCGTGCTTCAATCATGTTCCCAACCATGCGCCATTCTAAAAACGAAGTCTCTGCATTTTTGTAAGTACAGATTATTCTAAACTTACTCGATGTATGAGCCGTAGTCGTAATTGTACGTTTCGTTGTAATTGAAGATTTATCTAAAATGAGAGATGAAATAAAAATGTTAGTTCTTTATCATTTGATTATACTTGAATATACCATTCCAACAAGCACATTTATGTATTAATTGAAATTTATAGTTATTGATTGGATCTTCACAAAAAAGCTTGAAATTCATTATTTCCTTCAAAGGAACATTGTAATAATTGAGTACCAAGAGTAAATGTCTTTCTATTATCATTCGAAACCAAACCTAATAGCGCATAGATGAAGTGAAGATTTGTCAAGATCATCACTATTATGATGAAAATTTGCCTTGAAAAAGGATTTCTTCTTTCATATATGTTTTAATAGAGTTAAAATATTTGTTTACTTTCCTATCTATGATTAGATAAAGATTTGTCTTTTCTGTATCAACGATAAAGAGAACAAGTTCGATGGTATTCTTGTATAGTAAGTTACTCTTTTACGTAGAATATTCTTGCGTTTTGACCTATTTATAAGACCGTGGATATCCCTTGTTTGAAAACTATCCAGAAAATCTATATATCTCCATTTACCTTTCTTTCTAATCTAGTGATATAAATATGCTTTTCTTGCGAGCATCTATACATTTAATAATGAATGTACTTTGCACTATTTCGATTTACGAGAATAAGTACGAATGCAATAACAAGGAAATCCACTTAATAAAACTTGTGTATGAGATTCGTATATGATCGATATTAACTTCATAGTTCAAATCGTCTTCTTTCATTTACAGACTTGGCTTATGATCGGAGATAGTATGAGAAAGATTTCTATGCGCGTAAAAAATTTTTTTTTCATGAATAAACACGCAATGACAACGTTAATATTCGAGTGAATTTAATTTCGACTTATTCAGCATTTGAAATCTTCGGCCTTGAGTTTACCGGCATTGATAGCAGCTAAAATAAATTCTTTTATACCTTCTTCCATTGCACCTTGACGACTAGCTTTTCCTCGCCCTTCACCCACAATACCTGGAGCTCGTGCTTTGCACTGAAATTTAGCATCCCAAACCCATTCTAGTTTGTGAATACGTCCTTTCAAATTGCCCACACAATCAACGTCGCATATTTTAATGGATTGATCATCACTCCATGTATGTAGCGACCAAATGATCTTACCTAAGTCTATTGCACAACCAACCCAACTGTTAGTAGCTAAACTCGCTATACAGGCTTTTGGAAATTCAATTTTTTGTCGTTGTTGGCGTTCCAAAGACTCAGGTCTGTGATGGTGACGACGTCCGTTGATTATATTTGGTGAAACCAAAGCTATAATAATCAGTATGATCAAGGCCATGTTCGAATGCATCGTAGAAAATTGATTTTTTATGAATGATGTAGATATACTGATATAATAAGTATTTATACGAAAAACGAAAGCTGATAAAATTAATCTCATACTCAAATACGATGTCATATTATATTTATCTGAAAAACTCAACTCAAAAGAAGTGAGACAGTACACAGAGTCGAAGAAAAATCTATAAATCATTTAATCTTTAAATCAACCTTTCTGAGACGTACGAATTGATATGTTATCTGCGAATACAGCAATATCATGTGCACTGCTTGACATTCTTTTCTCGCTTATATACTCACTTTTACGAGATTTTATGAAAGTCTTTATAGTGTCATCTATATGGTTTAGATAGTTTGAGTAGCTGCCTAATTCGACTTATAATATAAGTGACGAATTCCTAATACACTCCTATACATACTTAGGAATAGATAGCGATAAATTTAGCTATGCCTATTCACCCATGCCAGTTTAGGAATAGATAGGAATAGATTTTGTTATACATAGTTTCAGTAATACTTTCAGCCGAGCTATATGTTCTATGAAGGTGTTCGAAATGGCACTGTTGATAACACGAAAGCCGCTCAACACTTCCTGAATGAATTACAAACACGGCTTAATGGTGTCGAAAAGGATCTTGAATGGCATAGAAATCATGTTGAAAACTTGGAGATTGCAACAATATCTGTTGCCTGGATACCGATTGCGGGCTGGATTGCAGGAGGGAGGAATGTTAACAGCTGTGCCGGACAGTAAAGATAAAGTTTGCAACTTAGAAGTGGAAAAGTGGTGATCGAAGGGCAAAAAGTTAACATGATGAATGAAAAAATCAGAAGGAACAATTGGAAAAAGAGGGTGAAAGGAACCTGCATCGTATGAAATCGATTTTTACGTAGTCGACGAGTTTTTTCCCCAGTACTTCATTTATTATGATTCCTTTTATTTTGCTGTACTCAGCTGTAATCTTTTTCGCCAATATGTCTTTGATATAAACCACGTCCTATGATAGAAGTCCACCCAAGAAGGAACAATACGAATGATGTATTATAAGCCCATGGGCTTGTATTAAGTCCAAGATTTGAAATTTTTTAAATTCAGTAGTTTTGAGATTTAGATTGTTTTCATTTCCCTTATTTTTATTGAACATTCTTTCTAGCTAAAATCAGCATTATTACAAATCAAAATGAAACGTTATTTGTTGTTTTCTCTTATGCGTAGATGATTTAAATTTATCAATTTATTGCACAAACGAATATGCGATTTTCTGGTTGTGTTTGACCAAAATGTTTCACAGAATTCTTTGCAATACTTTGATTAGTTTCATAGACCTTTTCTAGCGAATAATTTTGTTTTTTGCTATTTTAATAGAAAAGAATTCGTTGATAAATATACGAAATTAAACGTACTATGTGATAGAATAAGAACGATGTCATTTTCAATACTGTAATTTGTAAAAGAAACATATTGTACGTATTAATCAGAATATTATTAAAAACATTGTCCAAGGGCGGCATGCTTAATCTTTTCAATTGTTTTATTGATTTTATTTGATGAAAATGAAATTCGGAATTATTACTTAGTGTTCATTCACTCAAAATCTTCAAACTTTAAGATCAGTCGAAGTATATAGTTTATGTGCCAGACAAAACATATGAAGAAACAGAAAAAGAAAGAGACGGATAACTTTTTATGAATGTTCCTCGTGGTCAGAATTGGAATTCATTTTCGATTCCCGTCGGTCGTCTCGTGTGTATCGAAAATACCCGATTTTTCTATTCATAACAAAGAAAAGTTCGTTCACTTGAAACTTAAATGAATACCTATGGAACCTTTTCGTGATGCTTCCGTTGTCGAATGTTTTGATGAAATCTGTGATGTTCATATTGCAAGCAGTCGCAAAATCAATCGAAAAGCAAGTATCATAATGTCGCTTTTATTTCACAGGTTCGAATTGGTGAAAGATATTTTTCTAAAGCACTTGAACATGTCGAATATTTTATTTCTCGTAGATTGCTATTATTGGGTTCATTGTCGTTGAATTATTGGTATATTTCACAGAGATTGTGAATGAAGATCGATCATACGAACAGAGATCAATCATCTATCGATATATGTATCATCAATCCTCGATGTTGACATATCTGACCATGTACATTGTCAGAATATTTTCCCAAACAAGGTTCCTTCTCATGAATATTACCCAGGACGATCGTTCCTGGAAGCAGTATTCCGCTTATTTCCCGTGAAAACCCGCAGGATATTTATAGTATCCGCGCTGGAAACTACGAGAAAATACTCGGAATCCCACTGAAGGAACCGGTAACCGTATTCGACTAATGGTTATGGCGGGTTCTTGCTGGTTCCCGATAAAAACCTTTTAAATGCGATGAAATGATTCGGTAGCCGGAATACTGGTTCCATGAAATCCCCGGAAGATCCTGGAACTAGTCAATTCCGGGCCGGATTCTTCGACGTGGGTAACATCTGCAATATGCAAATATTCTTCAGAAAGGTAAGGAAAATACTACGTAAGTCTTTTTCAAAAATCAACTTTCTTCAGGAACAACTACATCGAATGATATTTTGTGGTGTTGTCGCGGCTCAATCCGTATGGGATATGTTTGTCAACAAAAAAAAATTGAAATTATATTCTCTCCTATACGTGAGTATTCATTTTCTTGCTTTTCTAAATAATACACAATGTATTATGATCAAATGATTTTACAGATCATCACAATACTGCTCGCTCTCCTTGTGATTGTGGTGTCATACATTATGCTCAAATGCAATGTTGATGAAGTATCTCAAAGACAAATGAGTGAAGACTGTGAACGATCAAGCCCAACTCAACAACAACAACAACATCCACCGTTGATCGAAGAGACGACAGTTTGAAGCGTTTTCCATCATCTTTAGTTTTAGGAATAGTTTTTTAAAAGGAAAGTTTCGGTTATTAGACTCGATTCGTATAACAATGCAATCGAGTATTATTACTATTCAAAATTATATTGAACTAGTCAAAGGTTCGAAATCGTAAAAGCACTTGAGAATATGAAGGTATCGTTTGAGATGAGCATGTGTATTGCCAACAAGACATGAGAATTCAGCAGATAATACATTATTCGTTGAACAGTACGTTTCATAAACAGTTCAAAATGTTGAATCTTTTGAAAATTCACACCAGTTGCGAAGAAGTTATTTGTAAAAATTGAAATTCATTTGATAACGAAAATGTCAGATGACATCTTCATCTTTTCATCAGTTTCCAGTGTCTATATTAATTCAAATTTCATTGAAATCTATCAACATTGATTAATAATACAACGAACAAAGATGCAACCAAACTGGATGCTTGCCATCGTCGTAAGAAGTCTTCTCGATATATATCATTCTCTTCAATATTTCTTTGAAACCTTTCACAAAATATTTATTTGGAGAATTGGTATCGAGATCTCAAACTAGAAAAAACAATTTGGATGTACACTCGCTTTGATTTATAGTGCCGGATTTAGGTATAGTACAGTTTGTTTGACAACGGCAACCGAACATCGTAACATTTACCTACAAGCAATTTTTTCAAATACGTCCATATCTCGTCAAGCAGGAAAAGATGCGAGAATGAAAGATTGTAGAATCGCCTTTTTTATCTCGAAAATTGTGGTAGCGCGTAATAGAAAACAATGAATTAATTTAACCCTTTCTTGCCTTTGGATAACCTTAATGGTTTTAGAGGAGAATTCCCACAGCAACATTACTCTTATGACCCCTGATATGCGTAGAAAATGTTTAAACTAAATTCATTAGAAGCCATTTATTGAGCATGTGATACATAGGTTACTTTTTATTAAAAGAAATATCTGAGATTCACAACAAAGTGTAGGAAAAACATGAAAAAGTAATTAGAGATAAAGGTTAGACTAAGATTCTTGTTCGCCGATTCATGATAGTTACTCTTAAGGGTCATACAAGGATCCTCGTTAAATGCCCTCTAGTTCAGAAAAATCAAATTTTTATAAAGTGGGCGCTATAGCGCCCAGAGGGCAAGAAAGGGTTAAGTATAAATGATTCGAACCGATGAGTAATTCATATTTATCAATTAGATTCTCTATTTGATGCTTCTCTTCGAACTTTCTCTGAAAAATATTATAATATCTCTTTCATTATAGGCATGAATATTTGGCAATATAAAGTGATGTATATGATTGAGTCCAAGATATTTTTTGTTTCAATTCTTGTGTGAAAGAGAGAATGCTTTTTGTCTTATCTGTTCGACCATAGCGCGATGAATAAATCAACACCATCTATGAGCAGTGTTCGCATTGGGCGAACTTTTGACATTTTATTCTTTTCTTTTCTCCAATGTTTCACTATTGCCGTCTAGAACACAAATTCGCAAAGATTGACCGATAGTGCTATCCAAAGATTTCATTGAAAGCACACGGTATCAGCTTTTGCTTTCGCACCTTAATATATATCCTTTCGAAAATAATTTTGTTCAGCGTTATAAAGGAAGGCCAGTTGGAAAGAATTCCTAACAAATGATCTTCTCGAGAAGATTTGGCAATTCTCACTCTTGTATCGTTTTATTTTTTTGTAATGTGTTTCATCCATTTAACTGTTGATGTCAAATCTGAATAATCAAGTTTGAGGAAATGGTTGACTGTCATTTCAAGAATACGGTAGTATAGTTTCGTATTTTGTTCGATCAACTCACACGTTAAAGAAATTATCAAAGTCTATGTTTCTATTCTTATTCGTTTTCAAGTTCTTTCATTTCTATTGGATCTACTAAACTATATCTGTTGTTACTTGATTCTCTTTTAGATATTTTACTCAATTATTAACCATATAACGATGTCTTCTCAAGTTGATCGCCGTGTAATGGTAAGCTTACGAAACATCCTCTTCTTCCTATAGATAATTAAATAATAGTTGTAATGAGTTCAGTTTCACATAAACAACTCTACGTAGCATACAAGTATTTAGCTCATAAATAAAGGGAATTTTCATTCATTCACCATTGTTGACAAAAAACAGTAATGAAACGAATTAAAGGACAATAAACACAGACAAATACAACTTTGATATCGAACATTTTGACATAAGAGATCTTCTGAATTTGTAATATGATTAGTGTAAACACAAATTGCAACATACTATTAGCTATTTGTGTTAAAATCTTTGAATTTACTATGAAGAGTTTAAGATGTATAAAATGAACAAATATCAGCTATCACAAGTGATCGAAATTCACTGAATGTTTTCATGTGTTTCCTTGAAAACTTCAACCTTATATAAATCGTTGATTCAATTCGAATTCTTTTCTTTTGTTTCATTCAAAGAAAAACGCAGAAAATTCTTATCAAGAAAACATGCTCGAACCAGATATATCAATCCCAGTGCATTTATTGGGGACGTTCATATCCGTTATAACTTCCATTGCTTGTTTTAAGTCCGCCATCGATACCATAGTAAGTTTATTCTTAAATAATGATGGAATTAAGCAAAAGTGGTAGAGAAAAATAATAATCAAGACTAAGAGTCGGTGGAACGAGCTTTTGTTGTGTGAGAGACGGTCAGAATTGGAACGAACCAATCACGACACCAGCGGATACCAATCAAGGTTAAAAAGTAAAAAAATAGAAGATTCTTGGAATGCAGATGAGTTTGGCAATGTTTTTTCCTCTAGAATATTCATCTATTCGAATAATTTTCATTGGCTCGATGTCGTTTTAGAATTATTAGATACGTTTTTAGAGAAGAAACGAAGGTCACTCTAACTGACTTTTTGTTTATATAGGGAATATATGCATGGAGAAGTTCACATATGAATTGGTGGATAGTTTTTTGTATTATTCAGATATGGGCTGGTGTTCTATCTATGTGTTTTGGTTTAATAATGTTAATTAATCTTTTTCATTGTGTATACACACTCTTGAATAAGAGACAATTATCAAAAAATCAGGTACAGATGAAATGAAATTTATCACAAACGAATAAGCAACTTTTTTTGTTATAGATACACAATAATCAACGTGAGAATCGATCATCTGTTCAAGTGAAATTAAAATATCTTCATTTTTACAAGCATTTTTTCTCTTGGTTTCGCCGTCAAGATCACCAGGAATTTGTGATTTAAAAAGAGATACGCCTTCTTTTCCTCGTCGAAGATTATTCATTATTTATGTAAATCAGTATGTGTTTTAGTATTCATCTCGTCAAATATTCTTCTTATCAAAACTGTTTTTGTATAGTTTAAGTTTGTTCATCAGATAATTTGTTTTCTTTTCTTATGTTGTAAATATAACTAGTTGCTATGATGCTACAAGCACGTAGAAATTGCCAGACATATGGAGGCAACTAGAGCTTTCGACTGCTGAAGAGTCGTCGTCAGCCGATAAGACGATTGTATCAAAAAGAAGTAATAATGAAGAATCAACTTAATGAAAAACCTATCATATTGAATATACGCTTCGCCCGAGTGACTTTTGATTACGTGTTTCGTGATTTTTCTATAGAAAAATTTTATTTTATTTTAAAACTTTTCAGGAATCACGACATTGTTATTGTTGTATGTGTCTTTTCCGTTTCGTGGTAAATAGTTGTTGCCAGGAAAATAGACTATAAAGATTGCAGCAGAGAAGAATATTGGTATCGTGTCAAATATGTAAAAATACACTTCGTGTACTGCTAAATAACCGGTGAAACCTTGAGCAAATTCAATAACACGATAAATTTGTCGAATCAACACGAGAATACTACTGATATAGATCGCATAGAGAAATCGTCGCCATCGTTTCTCATAAATACTTTCAGGTAGGAAAACAGGTGGCAATTTTCTTATCTGGTACTCGAAATAGAAGAGTTGTAAACAGAAAATGGCAAAGGAAACAAGATTAATGATGAGACCGGCTAGAAGAATATTTTCTCCAGTTCTTGCCTTCTCCAAATCGTTTTTCGCTGCTGTAAGGAGACCTGCGCCGCTTGATTGAATTAGTAATGAAAACGCGTCACAGATGATAAAGATCCAGGCTACGAGTTTTGGTTTGATTAAGGAATAATGATCACCAAGAGCATGTACTAGTCGACCGAATAAAACATACTCTATTGCCGCATTAAATACAGGTGCAAGGATAAGACAAGCATGCATACATGCATATAAAGGAATTTGTCCAACTGGTTGAGAGATCAATGGAAGACGAGTTCCATAGCCAATGATTTCCATAACACATCCAACCAAAAGTGCAATCATGTACCAAGTTCTCTTCGAAATGACCCAGACGGTGAGAGCAATGAACAAGAATATGAAGAGGATCAGAGATACAACAGCGGGAGGCATTGAAGGCATATAATGGAATGGATTGGATGGATCGTCAGCACCGCCTGGCGTATAGCTCAATGTTGTATTTACACTGGGCATGATAAATAGTTCAAAGAACTGTAACAGAACAACGCCGTGTTCTTTACTTTTAAAGGAGAGAAGAATGACTCATATCTAGTAAAATAAGGTCACACGCACTGAGAGTGCGTTGAAAGATGATCCATATATTGAATTCTAAAAACACTGAAGATACTCAAAGTGGTACTACTCATCATATTGACAAATGATAGAATTCGATTCTTCGAAGTTTGGGATATTTTCCAGCCTAGTTTGATGGATATTGACGATATGACTCATAAACGCACTTTTCTCTTCATTCTGTTTCCAGTAGAAGAGTGCACGCGCACTTGAAGTATTCACGCACTCCAATCTATGTCATAGAAAAATTGCATGCATATAAACGTCAAACCGCTTCAGCGAGTAGGTCAAAACAAATCATTACTATGACAACCATTCTACTTATTGTGTTACTTTCTTTATCACGGAACATTGATTCTCAATTAATTCCATTGAGATTCGATTTAATAATTGACCATTTACATCAATACCAAAATCTTTCGTTCTTTCATTTGGGTAAAGATGTGCAGTACCATTTGCTGCCTGATCAAATGTTAGAATATACGTCTTTGTTTCTAATGGACAACACGACTAGTCCATGTGACCGAGATTTTGAATTGATTCTTCGAAGTGCCATTGAAAAGGAAATCTGGGCGATGAAAGTTCTCGATGCTTGGGGAAAACCATTGCCCTCTGGTTTTCTCAAGGGAAACACCTATTGGATAGGCAACTACGATGAATGTGTGCAACTCATGTATAATTCAGTAAATAAGTCTTTCATACCTCAACCGTTCAAAACGCAACATTGTGTGTACACTCATATCTAATTATCGATTATATTCGAAATCGAATTTTAGGTACTTTCTCGCCAAAAGTGCCATTGACTTTTGGTATTTGCGTTCCATCGTCATGCAACCGACAAGGAGTTGTCTCTTTAATTAATACATTATTTAAAAACATGAGTATTGCGACGAATAATCTTGTCTGTTCAAATGATCTACCGAATGGACAAAAAGGTTTTACCAATGGAGCCATAGCAACTATCATTATTCTTTCACTTCTATGTTCACTTGTTCTTCTTGGAACAATCGTGGATCTTATTTCGATGTCGAAAATGAGCATGAGTTATCATTTGATTGATAATACCGAAATGAATATTCAATCCAAGTCACGGCTGATATTTTTTTCTGAATTTTCTGCAATGAAATCAATTCGTCGAATCTTTACACTTGAAGAAAAATCCTCCGACAACAGAAATGAATCATTCGTATTTATTAATGGTATTCGAGTATTATCTTTGTTTTTGATAATTATGGCTCATTCTTTACTTTTCGGTTTGTCCTATACAAGTAACATGATCGATGTTATGGTGGCAAAACGTAGTATATTTTTCCAATTGATATCCAGTGCTCAATATAGTGTTGATACATTCTTTGTTCTAAGTGGATTTTTGACTGCAATCTCATTTATTCGTCAAGTGGAAAAGGAGAAGAAACTTTCGTTTCGATTGATGATTCTTTATTATATTCATCGATATATTCGATTAACACCAACATTTCTTTTGGTGGTCCTTATCAGTATCAATCTAACACCGTATTTTGGAAATGGGCCAATGTATCCAGTTGAACAAGGATTTGAATCGAAAGGTTGCCGAACACAAACTTGGTGGACATCACTTGTTTATCTAGGCAATCTAGTACGACCTGATGAGATGTGTCTGAATATTGCATGGTATCTTCATAATGATATGCAATTTCATTGGATAGCGCCATTAACTTTAATTCCATTTATTCACGGACGAAAGTTTCTATCATTTTTAATTGCTGTCGCTTTTATTTTCATTACGATTATCTCAACATTATCGATTCTTCTGTATTATCCAAATATGTCACTCAATGAGCCAACTGGTAGAGCACATAATGTGAGTTTTTCTTCACGTATTGAACAACATTGTTTATTTGCTTGTCTTAGGATGGGCCGAGTTTTTATAGTACCATTTATATTAAGCCCTGGTGCCGTATATCTGCATATGCTATTGGACTTCTCACTGGATACACTACTGTCATAACCGGTCGGCAATATCAAATGAAGAAACGCTATCAACTGCTCGGAACCATTATTAGTCTGGCTTTTATTTCCATATGTCTCTTTGCGTCTTATCCTGACAGCATTCATGTACCTGGTCTAAGTCGATCCGAGAGTGTTACATATGTGACTTTCTCACGGACCCTCTGGTCAATTGCTATTGGTTGGTTATTATTTCTATGTAGTACAAATCAAGGTGGAATAGTCAATAAGATTCTTTCTTGGCCCATATGGTTTCCATTTGCACGACTTAATTATTCATGTTATTTGATTCATGCGACAATTATTTATATGATGATATTCAATCAGACTCGCCCTTTCTATTATCAAGGGTATCTTTTTATGAACAATTTTATTGCGCAGATATTTCTCAGTTACTTTGCAGCTATTTTTGTATCGACTTTTTTCGAAACACCATTTTTTATTATCGAGAAGAAACTATTTAAACGTTAAATAAAAACAACAGTAATCATGTGTTCATTGAATCCTCGAAATGAGTGACGAACAAATTTCATCAGAAGGGTGTGGGTGAAGATGTCAATGAGGACAAAAATTGATACAACGTACTGAGCTACAACTCAATTTTGAAAGGCGAGAAAGATATAAAGAGACAAAATTATCGTTGCTCGGCAATGACAGGCTATAAAGTTTGGTATTTGTTCCGACATTTTTTTTTCTTTTGATGTTTTCATTTTAAATAGAATTTACATGAGAATATATACAATTCACCAACGAATAAATATAACGAACTATTGAAAATCCATCTTTTTGTTTTTTGATCAATGGCTATACAAAGTCTATTGGAAAATTCGCTTATTGATAGGTAACTATGGCCCTACAGTATTGTTGGATTGGTAATCTTTTGATTTCGATTAATTAGCTTCGAGCCCTATAAATCGGTAAATATCTCATTTAGAAAAAATGTAGTTCGTTTCAAAATGAGTGTTACTTTACTTGATCTGACATTTATTTGATAAAATGAGAGAACGAAAAAGATTTATTCAGTGAAATAAGGAAAATAATCATGAAAATGTTCTGGACAGACAATAATTTCATCGAAGATAAGTTTTTTTAGTTGATTACAATTGATTTGTGTTGTAATATTAGTAAAATTATCTGTAACAATAACTAATTTATCATATTGTATTTTAAGTATGGAAAGTTTTGGAACACGTGCTTTTGTATCACATAGAAATTGATAAGCATAATCAGTGTGCGCATGAGTTAATCTTAATCGAACAAGATTATTATATAAAATACATGATTGGTTTTCAAATTTATTAACTTGTGCTTGAAAATTATCCACTGTTAAATATTTCAATAGTGGAATTGCTTTTGATAACCATTGAAAAAAGTCATATTCAAATGGACGTGTATCATATAATGTTAAGTCAAAGAGAAATGGAAAATAATGATTTCGAATGCTCTTCGTAGCATACATGAGATAAGTCATTTGAATTGGAATTGAATAAATATGACAATAACTCGTTGCATTAGACAAATGATCGATACTACAACCCACTTGAGAATATTTCCAATTTATAAATGTATTTTCAATATGATTTGTTGATACATAATCATTTGTGTAACATGTTGGCATAAACATACAAATATGAAAGATAAATTTATCTAAATTTAACATATGACAAAGAATATTTTCGTTAAGAACAATTCCATCAATGACTTTCAATCGAAGTGTATAAAGATATAAAGTTAGTTTTTTTAAGTTTATCATTCGTTGAAGAAGTCGAACAATTCGACAATCATAAGCAGTTGTAAAAAGAGGACATGTTAAAGAGAATTCATTCAAATGAAGAAGTTTTTCCTATCAAACAAGTTATTCTTTAGAAATTTATACTTATGCACTTTTCTACTTACACAACTATCTGTAGCTTTTGATGATGGTTCAATAAATGTTACACGTACTGTGAATGAAGATAAACTTTTCATTCGACCATCGAGTAAGTAAAGGCAATCATCAAATGTTTTCACATAAATATTTAGAGTCTGTAAAGATGATGAATAACAAATATTTTGAGAATAATCATCTAATGTAAATCGATAAAATCGAACCATTTCAGATTGATTCATACCCAAATAAGTACATTTTTCACAAATGAGAAGAATACGTTCAAAACTATTTGTAAATGAGATATCATTAAACACTTCATTTCGAATTTTTAAAGTCATAGATTTGATTCGTTCTTTTAATAAATGAATAATTGATGAGTTTTCTAAACATATACAATCAAATAATTGAAATTTCGACTTTGTAATATAATAAATTACCTGTAAAATAATTTAAAAGAAGATCTGGTGAAAAGCCAACCAAAACAAAAGTATGAAGATTAGGAAATTGAGAAGAAAGAATACGTTCAATATTAGTAGGCTCAAGAGTCATCATTTGTATCCGATCATGTATTTGAGGTAACATTTCAATATTGAATCGATGTAATTTTGCAGAATCTATTGGACATATTTGTCCATCCGATAATTCGATGGAAAAATTTATTGACTTTGAATAACTACTTCTTGCAATGCGATCCAGTCGCTGAGTACTATTCAATAATGAATAAAGAACATCGAATGAACCAAGTTTATTGAAAATAATCAACAATATTTCATCAGGTAAGTCGAGTAGATCAATAATTCGTGTTTTCATCCTGAATAGATATTACAGGAATTTTGTCAGTTGTCATTCAATTTTATATACGTTGCCCGCTGACTATTTCAAAAGCCAATCATAATATATTTTTTTCGCTTATACAACGGACTGGAATCGAGACGATATCATGAGAGAAAAAGACAAAGGGTTTGGCATCGCTTGATCGACATTTTATGGTCAATAGGATTTATTTTAAGAAAAAAATACAGAGACAGAAAAAAGTTGACAAGAGCAATAGTGAATAATAAGAGTAGCAAATGACAAGGATGAGCATTCCATAGCTCGCTTCACTCAGTACATTTGACCTGACTATAATAATGAACATAAAGAGTGATTCTGTGCTTCAACCTGTAGATGGCTTCATGACTAATATTTCTTGGCAAAGATGTAAGAAGTGTAAATCAGTAGATTTGTCGATCAAATAGGGAGAAAGTTATCGACGAAACGGTCCAATTAAGTAATTTATTTCTTTTAATATTAGTGCGTTTTTTTTCTTTTCTTTTCTTTAATATGTCAATCTTTGTTCATCCGAATTACAATTATCAATTGATAAATTCGACAATGGGTAAAATATTTTTATTTTAATATTATAGATTCTTCAAGCTAAGAATATCAGTACTTCAAGAATATATATGATTTAAAAAAAAGAAAACATGATGGATGAGTTTATTTCGTGCAAAGTAAAGAGGGATATGAGAGAGATGATAAACTTGAAGAACAAAAAAATCTGTATTTATCGGAGACATATTTGATGTCTAATAGTTCTATGCTTGATACCTTGTTTTTATGTCGCAATTTTGTGCAATACGTAAATTACACACTTTTTTGTTCCATCCATAAGACAAAGATTGAACAGTTACCAACATTGCACATAAAACATCACTGACAATGTGCAGATCAGACCAGTCATCGCTCTTTTATAACCACTATATTTAATCATGTATATTATTGTATGGTATACATATAAAAATGTTTTGTATTGATTATGTTTTCCTTTACATGTTTTTCATTACATTTTTTTATACTCATATGCCGGAGCAACTGCTACATAACAGTGGGGTATGTAAGAAATACTTATTCATCAATTGTTTGCCTATTTCTTATTTGTTTCTCTTTTTCCTGTTTATATTTGCAGATGATTAGTGATATTATTTAACTATATATTCATCGGTAATGAACTACTAACTGATAATTCATCTTTTGCTTGAATGTATTTATTATTTACCAATTGAAAAAGCATATGCGAGAAAAAAACAAGATATTGAATATAACTGCAAGCATTAATACGTGTGTTGAATTTGTTCCTTCCCAGGTCGAACAATCCAGCATGGAAACGGCCGGTTCTGTGGTATTCCGGAGATTTCATGGAAGCAATAATCCAGATGAGCGAATTTATCTGGATTGGGCATCTCAAAACCACAATAGCCGAAAACGGTTACCGCACTTCTCCATCGGATTCCTGGCATTTTCGAGACGGATTTCGCTCAGAAATGGCGAGTTTCCTCAGGTATTTTGTCGGAAATTCGTGGAATCCTGCTTCAGGGACCATCGTCCTGGGTAAAAAATATTATTAAATTAGTTTAAAAATATTTTTCTTACCCATTTGCAATCCATAACAATCTTTCAAATCTCTTTTGTGATCATTTATTTCATCTAATTCTTGGCCTCCTTCTATTTTCGCATTCTATTTCTCCGATCTAGCATCCCATTGGTCCATTTTCGAAATAAAGTCTTCAAAAACGATACAAATATATAACGATTGAATTACCGTGGACAATTCATCGATTTTGTCTTGCCCAGACATCGTGCACTCTAAAAAAAATTAGTGCTCTACTGAACCCTCAAAAAAAGTTCCGTAGTTCCGAAAAAGTCTCCAGACAGGTTCACGATTACAAAAACGCAATAAAAACTTCTACGGAACCATTAAAGGATCTTCCCGTGTATCAGAGGGAAGAACCTTCTACTGTTAAACCTTTTTAAGTCCCGCATACCGAAAACAGGTTCCGTAGGATAATATCAATCTTTCAGAGTTCTTTAGGAAAATATAATAGTTTCGTACCGAACCTTAATGTCCTTGTATAGTTTGATATGAAACCCCATAAGCTTTGCATTTTGCTACGGAACCTGTTTTCGGTATGCGGGACTTAAAAAAGGTTTAACAGTAGAAGGTTCTTCCCTCTGATACACGGGAAGATCCTTTAATGGTTCCGTAGAAGTTTTTATTGCATTTTTGTAATCGTGAACCTGTCTGGAGACTTTTTCGGAACCACGGAACTTTTTTTGAGGGTTCAGTAGAGCACTAATTTTTTTTAGAGTGTATGTCTAATAAGGATTTTATTTTATGAATAGAATTATTGAATGAAGACAGTATTCTTAATATTACGAAGTAATATATAGGAATAATTTATCACAAGTAGCGCTCATTCTGTGGATTCGCTGACCCTTTTCTGAAAGAATTTCATTTCATTTTCAAAACAAATCGATCCGTATTTTACAGAATGACTGTTTCAGATTGACTTATATTTATTATCGATTGAAAATCATAACAGCGACTAGGAAGAATTTTTAACAAACTATTAATTATTCCATCCAACGGTTCAAGTTTTCATAGGCTTTATTCAAATATATGAATATATTCCTATACTTTAAAGTGATTCGGTGTAAGTTGTACGAAACGATCAATGACATCATAAAGATTGTTATAGTTCAACGAATTTTCTATTAAACCATTGACACCTGTCATTGGTTCATTTAACAAACGGAGGAGGCTCAGTGAAATATGTCTATTGATATCGGTTGACGTTCATTTTACAACAGGCCGACATTAAATTAGGTAAGTGATAATATGTGATAAACTGCATCTTATCTGCTTTCCTGTTTAGAATCTATGGCAATGAATTTAGTAGAATGGCAAACATCCCAGGACGATGGCTCCTGGAAGCAGGATTCCGCTTATTTCTGGTGAATACCTCCAGGATATCTATGATTTTCGCGTTGGATACTATGGGAAAGCACCTGGAATTCTGCTAAGGGAACCGGGGATCGTATCCGACTATCAGTTATGGCAGGTTCTTGTGGGTTTCCAAGAAAATCTGGTAAGTCCGATGACAGGATTTATTAATGGGAATACTGCTTCCATGAAATCTCCGAAAGGTTCTGGAACTGGCCGGTTCCGGGCCTGGTTGATCGACCTGGGGCCCACCGTAACGGCATTTGAGGGTGTGAGAGGACCTTTGGAACAAATCTTCGAAGGATGTGTTCTGAAATAATTAAATACGTAGCCTGTAAGATGATGATTAAAACAGAGTATTTTACTGAACCAAAAGGAATATCAACCGAGAGAAGGTTTCGTAGCTACGGGTTAGTACGAAAGCTTTTTACGGCTCCTATGGTACGGAATTTTCATTTCCAGCAGGAAAAAAGGTTGTCTAATAAACATTTTCTACGAAACCTCTGTTCCGAAATTTTCCAATAAGGTTCTATGTGGAACCTTTTCTCTATTAAACCAGAAAAGATCTTTCCGCGTATCGGTGGAAAGATCCATTTATGGCTTGGTAAAAATCTTTTTTACAGTGACCCATTCGCCCCATAAGATGATGAGGTAAATGTTCATACTGTGTAAGCAGTATTCAAATCATACACAAAATGATCTTTTGGAATCGACAGACGAAACATTGTTAGGTATGAATATTATTAAGAAAATTTTAGGAGAAAAATAGACGCAAAACCATCATGTTTACCTAGACTCGTGCTCTTCTAGAACGACGAGATAATATCACTTTCAATTTTTTTTGTGTCGTCGACCTTGAAAGAGAGTGGAATCAAAGAGATTAACTACGACTTTTCATACGTTGTGCAGACTTAGTCTGTTTTCGCCGATAACGAAGCTTGCCAGTTTCAGCGAGCCACAAAAATCGTTTTCAGCGAAGTTAAAATGGTAAATTTCATTGTTGTCTTAGACAGACTAATCTTTCATGCATATACTTGCAGAGTGATATCGATTTCAAGGTTACGTGCGAAGTTTATAAAAGGTTCTATATCTCGTTACTTACACTTTATTACGATATTAAACACGTCAGCCAATATTTTTATTACTGATTGATTATTGCCGCTATTATACGATGCATCGAAGTGTTATCATTGCCCTTATGGTTGTGCTCCTATGCATGAGATGTGAAAGTGCTTGTGGTACGTATAAGAATTTAGAACCAATCAATGTTGTCACGAGAGAATGCTGTTGATTTATCCAGTTATCAACTGCTTGACCAACTCACATCCATCGAAGAAACTAAAATATTTTCGTTTTCCGTATGAGTGAGCCGTTTTTCTAGAACGTTTAGGCCTTAACTGAAAAATTTAAACGAGAAGACACCCATCGATGTATGAGACAAGCGTTGCAAGTTTTTTTCATCCAGAACTCACATTGAACTCTTTGCCTATGAGTTTCTTACATAAATCTATATCGGACGTATTATGAGATGGCTGCATTCAAGTTTCAATTTGAGATTTAGATTTTAGATAAACAATCTTATCTGTAGATAGAATCAGAACTCAGTAAGGAAGCGTATGGGTGTGGTATGGATATTATAATACGATACAATACAACATTGTATTGTGTAGAACAATATTGTTCATTTCATTTAAGGTGGCGCATTGACTTCGCCTCAAGCCACAAGCATTGCCAATAAGCTGGGCTACGTAACACAGAGCGGTAACAAGCTTTGTCATGGCCAGAAGGTTCATTACAACAAGAAAAAATCTAAAAATATGCAATGTATCACCCAAGACTGTGATACTCACAGTGGTCGAGCTTGGAAGATCGGCACGATAAGTTGGTGTGAAGGTGGATGCAGAGGTCAACGAACGGGGACATATGAACTCGATGCAGTCACCTTCATCAAACCCTAGAGCATACTCTACGTTTGGTAATGACACTATCATTTATCACAGTTCTTTTTTCTTGACGAATAAAGATGATAATGTGTCATATCAATATGGTATGTCTTAAACACATCCTTGTTTTGCGACAAACACATTAAACGTTAGCCAAGAGTGAAACAGCGTACTCCCGTACGCCAGAAGTCCAAGAGTTGCATAAAAGCTGCGGTTGTTTTTTATCATTTTCAGACTTATATTCAACTGCCAGCGTATTACTTAGAACTAGCTGAAGTATCCGGGTGTGTGGGTATAGTTGAAAGCCAAAAAGAAAAGATCCACACCCATCCTCTGTAAAATTTCTCTTTCTTCCGCTCTCTATCTTTAACAGGAATCTCGTTTTATTAATTATATTTGTCAAATTAAGAATATACCCGAATATGCAAAAAGTGAGGACCCAAGACTACACATATATTATAGCATATAAGGACCTATAGGTACCCTCGCTATATAGGGCTTTAGGACCTATGGGTATCCTCACTATAAAGAACATGAGGACCTAAGGGTACCCCCACTACATAGGATTAGAGGACTTAAGTGTTCCTTTATGGAACATCATTTCACGACATGGTTGCTCTCATGAAACTGATTATAGCAATCTATGTGGCGGAAAAACTTTTTTTCGAAATCCCTGTACTTTCCCTCAGGACTCGTGGAGTCATGTTTTAGAATTTTTACGATATCTCAGCCATTTCTTGGCCGATCCTTCTCATCTTCGAACTCGACCGACATATTCATGAGATGAGCCTTCGGAAGAAAAATTTTTGGCATTCGCTTGATCTGCTCGAGAGTTATCGGATAAACGGACGGACACACTGACCGACTTTAGTAGTGTACTCACTTTTTGAGTACATAAAAAGAACGAGCATAGAAGTGGCTTTAATTTGAAGCGGATTAGAGTGAGATATACGTGAGAGTTTTTATCTAAAAGTCTTCTAATTCTATCAGAAAAGGGCCAGAGAATCCAACAGATGAGTGCTACTTGTGTATAAATACTCAACATAGTTAACGTTATATGGTGTCCTCTGTTGGTGTGAATTATTGGTGCGGATAATAAATTCTGCAAGCAGTATAGAAGCTGGCATTCGATGAGGGAAGCAAGGAAGTAGAAGGAAAATTGTTCGTGTCTACTCAACTCTTTGAAATCATTCCAAGATTTGTTTTACATTCGCTGTTACTAGTTGATAAATTGCGCTACTAACAATATATTACTGGAATATTGCCTTTTCGTATCCATTGGATCTTCAAAATGAGTGGCGACCAAATTTCATCCGAAGACATTATGTTGATTTGTGTAGAACCTGTCAACATAGATTCGACATTCATAGATTACTTTGAACAGAATGGAATCAGTGTGTATAACTTCGAAGATATTGATGAATGTATTGAATATATTTTGTCATTCGACCCAGAAGATGTTTTTGTTTTTGTGTGGCTTGGTCTTGGATGGAATCATCTCATTCCTATTTTACACGAATTTGAACACATTGACTGCGTGTATCTCACTGAACCTACCCATTATAGGTTTATATCTAAAGTTCATGGAGTATATACTCATCCTGGCGAATTACTTCAACAACTTATTCGAGATATACGAATCTGTAATCAAAATAGTTCAACACATTTGAATATGTTTTACAATCAGGAAACATCAACAATTTATAATCCACAAGGAACTATCGTTCAATCCCTATGGTCTGAATTACTTTTAATATGTTTACTTCGAATGCCTTCACCTTCTGCAGATGTTTATAAAGACGTGATAAAAGAAGCGCGGTTCTTCTATCGCAACAATGCAGTTCAGCTTGCACAGATCGATGCTTTTGAAAAGAACTATCGTCGTGAAGATGCAATTCGCTGGTACTCGCGTAATTCATTTGTTTATCGATTAGTGAACAAAGCTCTTCGAACTCAAAATTTGGTAATCCTTTTCAAATTTCGAACTATCATTAAAGATATCTACGAACAGTTAACGAAGTTGTACCATGAACAATACTTTACTGGAAAAACGGAAAACAGTAGGTGCTTTTCTTCTTGAAAAATTCAAAGAGATATATGTTCTCATCATTAATTGTAGAACTTCTTGTTTTTTGTTCGAGCTATGTATATTTTATTTGTAGAAGCATTGTCGACAATTACATTACATCGCGCAATGAAACTGTCATCTGCGGAAAGTAACCAGCTTCGATCATCGAAAAAAGGTTCAATTATATCGATAAATTCATTTACATCTGCATCAACCAATCCAGCTGTAGCAATAGCATATTTGGGTGATGACTCAGAGAGAGATGTTATGTTGGAGATTGTCATTGATAGAATGTCACTCAAGTCAGACACTCTACCTTTTGCTTCGATTCGTTCATTCAGCATGTTCTCAGATGAAGAAGAAGTGTTATTATCAATGGGAACTAGACTGCTAATCGAATCAGTAACGACCAATGATCAGTATAAGAATATTTACATAAAAACTCGATTGTGTTATGAAATGGATGAGACAATGAAAGAACTGAGAACATATATTTTAGAAAAACAGTTATATCATGGAATGGATGAATCCCACTATATAAATCAACTTTTTGGACTTCTCGTCTCGACAGGTGACATGAAACAACTAAATCAGATGCGATCAGTATTTGATCTAAGCCATCAACAATCTCTAAAAAAGACTTGTGAATTACTTATTGAAGCACAAAGTTCAATACTAGATTTAGTCTATGGAGATGATTTTAATCTCAATTTATCGAAAATGCTTTCGAACTTATTGACATCGATATATGGTTTAATGCGTGAGTTAGACAAATCGGGGACACTGCAAGACTTGTTGGCACTGCTCTTCCAGTGGTTGACGAATATTTCACATACTAGCGAGTCTGTTGATGACTTAGAGGCAATTACACGACAAATGCTGAAGATAGTTCCCTTATTGGAAGAAGCGATTAAAATGTACGCGATGCCTCCATCACATCCTGCAGTCGCAAGCCTTCGATGTCTAATATGTACCGTTGAAAGTCTACAAGACAATCATATGAAAGCTATAGGATACTTTGATAGAGCAGATGCATCTCCTTCAACTTCCACAGTGCTTAATCAAATAGTACAATCACCACGAATGCTTGCAAATATTGCACAAAGCGCCAATGTACTCGGCAACCGTGATTGTTCAGAAAAGATTATAGCAGATCTCCATGATCGTACGAATCCTACCGATGAAATAATTTTCACTTTAGCTGGACACTATGAACAGATAAAAGACTGGTCTATGGCAATTATAAACTATCGTCGTATAATCGACGAATGCAACTTACCGCTTAATTCAATATCAATTATTGTAGCTTATAATCATATTGGTAGCGCTTTCTGCGAATTAAATGATTGTGAATCAGCATTACACAATTTTAACCAAGCACATCAGCTCTTGCTGCAACATCATCCACCTACACATCCTCTTTTGTCCCAAACACAAATTCTGATTTCGAGAACAAAGTTGAAACAAATGCTGGAACAGCTTCCCCAATTATTATCTTAATCATCAATCATGACTTTTGACAAGAATATTTTACTTTTTCGAATTATGATTGCACTAAAGAATATAGCCGTCGGCGTTGAACACGAGGATTTCTTTGCCTTTAGAATCTATACGATCTTCAAGTCATACCAACGATTTTACATATAATAAACTTGAATTCAAATTGTAAAAGAATTATTTGCTTCATGTTCTGCACTCGTACTAAAGTTTTTCAAGTTTCTGACTTTTGAAAGTAAGTAACATATTGAACACATTCATTTTTGACAATATTTACGCCATGAAATATATTTTGCATTTTTTTCCAAAAACTGAGACGCAAGAAAATATTTCCACTGTAAATTCAGAACTTTAGTGCATAGATGAGAAATAGCCTAGCTCGTGGGATCTATAGTCAGAGTTTCATTTGCCAACAACAACGAATTGCCGATAGCAAAGATTATCACTGCTTATATTATTCAGTCACCAGGCAAAGTACAAGGCGAAGGCGTCGCCTAACCACTAAGGAGGTCTTATAGTCAATGATCTTTCCGCGAAGTTCTATGTGGAATAATGATTCCATACTCGCCTCCTACATCTTGCAAAGTCAAACTGTCGACTAAATTGCGTGAACTGCGAACTCATCGGGAGTTCAGAACCAAAAATCACACCTTCAGATAACTTCATTAAAATAAGTTGCTAACGGTCTTAATGTCTCAAACAATCATCACACACACACGTCCACTCTCACTCGTTGTCAATTAGTGCACTCCCTTAAAATTAAATTTTGTTAATTTAGTTCAAGATTTGGATATTATTTATTTATCTCTTACGAAAGTATTCTATTACATTCGAATAAGAAAGCAAATCAGCAATCGAACTGTTATTGACAAGCGAAATAAGCAATTTTCATTTGATAACACGAGTTATTCATTCCATTCAACATTCCAGATTAGCTGGGTCCGTATTGAAATAGAGATGCATTGTGGTAACACCTCCGATAGCATCATAGATGGGAAACATGCATTTCGGAACCGGAATCAGAAATGACTAGAATACAAAACTCATTGCATCAGTATCGTTGAAAGTAACACATACTGAAATAACAGCTTTTGGTGGAAACTCGACTCGTTGTGATGCGTCCATCTTGGCCATAATACTCCATCCAAAAGCACTAAGTTGACCTTTGTTATACATAACAAAAGCTGGTAAAACCTCTGAACAGTTCAGATCCAAGTGGTTGTTGTACCAGTAATGTTTACCTGTACAAAAAACAAAAATAGGTCAGATCAACAAAAAATATTAATAAGTTAACCCATGGTCTTAAAACAAGCTCCTGGAGCCCATTTTGTTTTGCCAAGATCACTTTCCCAAAGTGGTACTTCAACGGCATCTTGTAGTGGATTTGATCCATTCTGAAAAAAGAGACCAGTTCCAGTTCCCTCATGTTCAAGACGTGACAAGGTACGTCCAACACTACAAATTGTAGCTAGAGTAGAAAAAGATCAAACAATTGACAAAATAAACTGGGATAAGTCCATACCAGGAGGAACAAAATATGCTGTAGCAGTGTACATATCGATGCCATTGATTGTCTCTCGATTGTACATCCGTTGAGTGTCAAACGAATAGAACGCTCTGTTAGTAACAGATCGAGGGAACTAAACAGAACAGACAGAGTGAAACACAAAGTAATACACAAATTACTCCAATCTGAATGCCAGCAATAGTTCCTTGTTTGTCATATAAAAGAATAGCTGCAGAATCATTACCTTTCCAATAACGATGACCAACAGTTGTTCTGCCTGAATTTCAACATAGTAAATGAAAATTTGAAAGTCATGATTGATTCTTACCGAGACATTGATCTCCTAGACCATTTGGAAGTTTACTGTATCCTTCTTGTAAAGCTTGTTGTACTGTTCTTGGTTGTCGAATGAACACTTTATCATTGGATGCCAATGGATCCGGCCCCCAGATAATTTTAAGTGTGTTCCATTCTACTTTTCGATTGATATTTTGTGAAGATGATAGTAAAATCGAAGCTAAGCAGGAGAGATATTCAATATATAATCGTATTACTCCAACCTACCGAAGAAGATAAATGATAAAATGGTAAAAACCTTAGAGCCAGACATCTTTGTTCTTTTTCTTTAAATACAACAATGGATTAAAATCACTCCTTCTATCGATCTATATATATATATATTTATTATATTTCTGCATATATCATCATTACAGTGGTAAAAATAAAGCGTTTATCGAACGTTACTCATATCTTTTCGTAAAGATCATGTTTGGAAACAGATTTATTGTTAAATCTATGCTATGTCATACAGTCGAGAGTGACGCATAACTTGAAATATTAAGAACAGCAGCTCTTTCTTATCTAATTATATTAACAAGCGTCGATTGAAATAATCATTTACAACCTTACTTCTTTGATAATGACCCTTTCGCTGAAAATATTAGCTATGCAGATTGGAATTATTTTGAACAACTCGCATGAAATATTCATATAGTTTTTATTCACCTAATTTCGCAACACACAGATTTATGTTACAAAATAGATTGTATAAAAGTCCAAAGTATCTTCTAAGCGCATGTTGATTCTTGCAAATGAATCCACATTGTCATTAGGTATAATAACTGGTACGTCTCTTTGATTTACAGAGAGAATATATTGTGCCAACTCGAAGATGTAAAAATTAAATACATCGTTCCTTGATGCATGAACCCTAAAATACGGTTTTTGCTTCTGTTCAAAACAAATCGACTGTCTTTTCGATGAAAATCTGATCGAGACGAAGTACTTGTTCTTCGGTTATGCATTGAAACGATGTGCACGTCATAATTCGCTCAAATAATTCAGTATCAAGGTCAATATTGAAAAATGGAGCAAGTTGACGGATGACTGAGCGAAAAGCATGCCTAATATCTTCGTAAAATGTGGAAAATATATTATGATTATTCTTATCTTTCTATGCAGTACGTAAGTGTCGAAAATAATCATCGTATGGTGGATAACTATAAATAACCGCATCGAGAAATGTCTCAAAATGAAGATTTGGCAGGTTCCGCCTCATGTATTTTTGAGAATAGACTAATAATAAGAGACGCACACGTTCCTTGGATAAGTTCTGTGACCCAAAAGTAAATGAGTATTGATCACATTCGGTAGATATATATTTTATCTATACTTTGTTCGCCCACTTTCTGCATAGTATAGGCGTACACGCAACATATTTGACCATACTATCATCGAACGATTTACCATGATTTAAAAGTATCGATATGTGGCTTGTAATTCAATGCTGAACGAACGGTGTTAGCGTTAGCAGTTTTGGACAGTGAGATTCCGTCAACCAGTTGAAGACCTTGACTCAAGTTAATCATTACGGAGATCCTGATTAGTATACATGAATGTGCGTATTTTAGGCACAGTACAGCAGGTAAAGTGACGTAGAAACTAGACTGCATGTTAATTTAATAGCACGCATGCATTGATGTTCTCTTTGTGATACATTTTAGTGCGGTAACAGGTTTTGAGAGAAATTTTACAAAATTATTGACGAAACAGAAGAAGAAGAAATAGTTTCTAATTAGCTTGATAGAATAAAAATTAAATGGATTACAACAAAAATGCTGATTGACACTTTACTGTTATGTATCACCTTAAAACGCCGTTGTTGCTAACTGATACGACTTCCGTTCTGCTCGACTCAATATCGCCCATTAAATATTTCAGTATCTCATCGGCATGGCCTTTAGTTTCATTTTGTTCTTGGCAGTGATGAAACGAAAGCTTTTTTCTTTCTGTTGTTATTATTAAATCAATAGCTTTCGATCAAGATAGAACTTGATTCATATGTTACAACAATTGTCTAAAATATATGACCCATAGAACTTCTTACTTCTTCCACCAATCTAAACTACTGTTCGTGATGAATGAATGATTGAACAGTGTAGTGATGTTTTCATAATAACTTAAAGTTTGTCACGACAAAAATATTCAATTATACTTAATATATTTTAGTATCGTCCTTCAACAGAGAACTATTTGATTCATACTAGCTCGCAGTTGTTTGTGATGAGTTTTTCCTCAACGTCCAATAGCTAAACGGTGATATGGCGAATAAGATAGATAATATTGTTGGACTTTACCATATTTGCGCAAGAGTGATGCTTATCAACCTGAAAGAAATGAATATGTCAACACAAGATATCTAAATACTTCGCATGAATTTCTTTTTCTAACTACTATAAATTTAAAACGAATCACAAGAGTTTATTCATTTGTAGATCGTTGCTCATCCAAATTCTTTTATTTTCATCATATAGATGAGTTTGCTAATTCAGCAGAAGATGTTAAACTTATTTGTTTGCGATCTGCTCATCACGATAACACTTCTATAGATCAACTACAACCAATCGGAATTGACACATATGAGTTTGATGATGTTGACGAATGTGTTCAATATATTGTGTCACTCGATCCAGAAGATACATTCGTTTTCATATGGCTTGGTTTCGGATGGAATCATCTCATTCCCATCTTACATCAGTTCGAACAGATTCATTGCATCTATCTTCATGAACCAACTCATCATAAGTTCATGTCAAAAGTCCACGGAGTATTCACTCATCCTGATGAACTACTTCAGCAACTCGTTCGAGACATTCGTGTGAGTCAAGAGAGTCAGTCCACACATCTCAATGTGTTCTACAATCAAGAAACAACAACCATTCACAATCCACAAGGAAATCCTATTCAAGCGATATGGTCTGAGGTACTTTTACAAGGTCTCATGCGCATGCCAACACCCTCTACAAACGTCTATGGAGAAATGATCAAAGAAGCGCGCTACTTTTATCGCAACAATTCAGTTCAACTTGCCCAAATCGATGATTTTGAAAAGAACTATCGTCGTGAAGATGCCATTCGATGGTATTCGCGTGATTCATTTGTGTATCGATTAGTGAACAAAGCTCTTCGAACTCAAAACTTGGTGATTCTGTTTAAATTTCGATTTATCATTCGAGATATCTATGAACACTTGAAGAAACTCTACCATAAGCAATACCTCACTAGACAGTCCAACAACGGTGAGTATTCTCTAGTCGTGAAAATCGACTGTTACAAGGGGAGAGATAAGGAGGAATAACCAAATTACGGACTGAGAGACATATATTCATCTTTTTAAAACTGTTTTTAGAGGAAGCATCGACGATAAAACTATACCGTGCGATGAAGGTATCATCTGGGGAAAGTTATCGACTTCGATCATGTAAAGCTGGTGGAATTCTATCAATCAATTCATTTGTATCAACATCACTCGATCCTGTTGTTGCAATGGCGTACTTGGGTGATGATTTGGAACGAGACATTATGCTTGAAATTATCATCGATAAGCGATTACTCAATTCAAGCATACATCCATTCGCTTGTATTCGTTCACTCAGTAAGATATCTGATGAAGAAGAAGTGTTATTATCGATGGGAACAACTCTTCGAATCGAATCAGTTTCGACAAGTAATCGACAGTATAGAAATAGTTGTATTCAGGCTCGATTATCTTATGATATGGATCGAGAATTGAAAGAGTTACGAGAATTTATTCTCGAAGAGCAGTTACTTTGTGGTATGAGCGAGTCATTTTATATTTTTCAGCTTTGCACAATTCTCTTCCCAGCGAATGACTTAGAAAGAGTGAAACAGGTACAAGTGCTGTGTGCACAGAGGAATCATAGAAATGTAGGAAATATTTGCCAATCGATATTCGAAATGCGCAATTTATTAACTGATCTTAATTATTCGGACAGCGTGATACCCGATCTCTTGAGAGCAACTTCTGATCTGGTAACGTCACTTAGCACTTCTATGGATGAAATAGATCCGTCTGGGACTACAAAGCGCATGATGTCACCACTCTTGCAATGTTTCACAAATTTCCCGCGCTGCTTGAAGTCCAACGATGGTTGGGGTCAACTAGATCAACAGCTATCCACATTAATTGTCTACGTAAAAGACATATGCGAGTCATTCTCAATACCACTATCACATCCGATGTTCTCCAATATACAGGTTTTGAAGAGTGGAATCGAAATTAATCGGGGTAATCACGAGAAAGCTTTACAATGTTTTCTGACTGCACAGCCATCATCAACTGGTGCCCTATTAAAGAATGTTGGCACTGAAAATCAATGGATTTTGACGAGTATTATCAAAAGTGCTACTGCTCTAGGTAGAAACGATTACTCAGAAAATATCCTAGAGGATCTTCATGATTCGGCCAAACCTCAAGCACACGTACTGAAAATTTCAGCTGACTATCATATGGATAAAAAAGATTGGCCGATGGCAATTATGTATTATCGGCAGATAATTGAAGACTGCAACTTGCCAGTTAACTCAATCTTAATTGTCGAAGCATATTGTTCCATTGGTCGTGCTTTCTTCCAACTGCGTGATCTCGAATCAGCATCACTGAATTTCAATCGCGCACATCGGCTCTTATTACAACATCACTCACCTACCCACACTCTTTTGGGTGAAATAGAATCTTTTATTCAGTGGACTGAAATGCTACGAAACCTTAAATAGCGTGCGCAAACATGGAATGCATATCAATAGTTGAAGATACGCTAAGCATCCCTAGCTTTTATATATTCAATTGTGTAAACGAATAGAAGATATTCATCCGAAATGGCAAACTTTTCGCGCTTTCTATTCTTCTCTTGAAAGGCATGACTTTCAACACGGAACAAGATATATCGTCTCATTTTCACAGAAGAAAACGACTCATAGAAGAACTTGTTATAAATGATTGTCTTTCCGTCAATGTATGCTTTATTTAGTTCCAATTAAGCAAATGTTGTTGTGGATCGGAAAACTAATGAAACAAAAAACTGAAAGAAACTAGAACACTAAGACGCGAATTTAACTTGTTCAAGTCGTAATTATGTATTCCACTATGCACATTGACATTCATCTGACAACAATTTGAGTATTCCTTGTGAATAGAAACATCAAGTCATTTCTTATGCATATCAATGCGCAGAAAATATAATAATCGATTATGACTAAAGAGAACAAAAGCCATATAATTATAGAAACGAGTCTCGAATTTCACGCGGTCGATGAACTTTTTCGCTCTTAATTGTCATCGATTTAAATTAAAAAAATAAAATGAGTGCATATTTTTGATACTTCTTCACGAATTGTTAACAAACACAAATAATATTGATATTCTCGAATAAATATGTTTTTCTGTTTTCAAATGAAAATGAAAGACTCGAATGATGGCGAGTCTTACCTGACATTTATTTGTAGAAGATCGATTCTTTCCATAGTATCGAAATAGACAATGAATTCGTACGATCAGCATGAATTGACCAAACAACAGAAATAGAACACCAAAGCAAAGGTTTCGCAGAATATGTCGATAATTTCTCTCATCCAGAGGGCTTAACGATTTCCTAATATTCCACTATATCGATCGATTTCTCACAGATAGTGCTCACCTATACAATTTCTCAAAAATCATCTACCCAAACAACACAAGATTCCACCGGATATCGCCTACTGACTGCAGATATCGCTCTTTTCAGCAACAGAAACTGGTTCAAATCGTTGAGCGATTTCTGACAGAAACTGTTTTCTCCAGCAGATATTTCCTCTGTCATGTCAGATATTTCTCTCTACAAGACACGACTCAAGCGGATATCGCCTACTGACCGCAGATATCGCTGTTTTCAGCAACAGAAACTGGTTCAAATCGTTGAGCGATTTCTGACAGAAACTGTTTTCTCCAGCAGATATTTCCTCTGTCATGTCAGATATTTCTCTCTACAAGACACGACTCAAGCGGATATCGCCTACTGACCGCAGATATCGCTGTTTTCAGCAACAGAAACTGGTTCAAATCGTTGAGCGATTTCTGACAGAAACTGTTTTCTCCAGCAGATATTTCCTCT